ATCAACAAGCAATCAACAAGCAATCAACAAGCAATCAACAAGCAATCGAGCAACTCAGTGAGCAATCAATAAGCGAGCAATACGCGAGCAACAAGCAATGAATAAGCATGCAAAAAGCAAGCAACAAGCAAGCAAAAAGCAACCAATAAGCAAGCAATACGAAATCAATGAGTGATCGAGGAACAATTAGTGTACTTAGAAATCCACTGAAGAGAAAGGTGGACAGCATGGCAACGAGTCCCAGCCACCTCGACCGATGATTCGGTTCGACATACAGAATCATACATACCCCAAAACACAATCAGTGGCTATAGATTGGTTATACAGGGAGGGTAGGTACCCCCAAAACGGCCTGCTTCGTACATATCTATATATATATATATATTAATCTATACATAATATATAGCATGATATAATAATGATAATAATAAAAACACTAAAGACAAATACTAATGCTAATACCAATTCTAATACTACTACTACTACTACTACTACTACGACTACGACTACTACTACTACTACTACTACTATTACTACTACTACTACTACTACTACTACTACTACTACTACTACTACTACTACTACTACTACTTCTACTACTACTAATGCTAACAGTAATAATGATAATGATAATAATACTAATCACACTAATGATAATACTAATAATACTAACAATAATAGTAATTACAGTAATAATCTTAATAAGAAAAAACACTAATAATGATAACATATGATAACTATACTTATTATGAAAATACCAATAACCAACATAATAATGATAATAAACAACAAACTAAATAACTTTAATATGCATAATATGGAGTATAGGTGGATGGTATGTTGTTTTCGGGTAAGAATCTTTGGAAGTCTCCTGTTTGACTGGCTCACTCCCGACTCCGGCGCAGGCACACAAACATGCCTCTACCTCAGATCCCCAATGTAAACTCAGATGCCCAGTGGCCAAGGGACAAAAATAATTGGCACCTTTTTTTGGTTGGTTGAGTTTAAAGGGGAACCCTTACCCAATAAAAACGGAAAACAGTGTGCCACTGGGCAACTGAAGAAAGCCCCAGTAAACCCTACAAACCTAAAAACCCACCGGAACAGCTGGGAACAGCCAAGAGCTCGGGAGAAGTTCTCTTGCACTGCAATGTTCGGCTTTTTTTTCTCGGCGTGCGAAGCGGCTGGAAGCTCAGGCGACTTTGGCCAGCACCAAGCCTCTCAGACACTGCCTGGCGACTGGAGCATCTGCCTGGCCAGGTCGGAGGGGTGAAGGCGTCACGTGGGAGGGGGTCGTTCTTTGGCTTCAACAAAATGGGACACCTTGGTTGGGAGGGTGCTTAAGGATAACAAGGAACCCACCCACCTAAAGAGTCCCCCATTTTGAGGTTTTCAACATGGGGACCCATGGTTGGCTTCCCAGAAAGTCACAGCCACCGCTGGCTGATTCCCACCTGCCAACCGACTCGTTGCTCACACTCGGCTCGGCTAGGGGGCTGCCCTCTTTGATATCCGTTGACAGGTGGTACTTGGATGTTTCCCTCCAGTGTCTTGAGTCAACCCAGGTGGTCCTAATTAGCTTCAAGCCTTTCCAGCCCACTCACTCTAGAGCCTGCAACACATAAACCCCCCTGACAACATGGCTTCGAAGCGGTGTGCTTCGTTTGAGCCGCGCTTTCCCAAACATGGGGGTTGGCTTCAAGGAAAAGCAAACGGACCCGCGTCATTTTTGAGTGCACTCCAAGTTTAGACAAACCAGCGAGCGAGCCTATGAGTTTTCAGTGGACCCTCCAAGGAAACTCAGGAAGATATGGATGCCCGAATTCGCCACGTACCCATGCGGGGCATAGGAATTTTGGGTCGATTCACCTAAACATGGCCAGGATAGTTCTTATACAGTCCGCTCAATTCCTCGGTTCTGATTCAAAGCCATAGCAGGGGTAATGGACAGGTTCTGCCCCTCAATATCCGCAATAGTCACGAATGGCTCTGCATCCGTCAAAAAACAAAAAGGATCCAACCAGCACCCCGCAACAACTGCTCGTCTCCATGTCCAAAATCCCAAGTACTGTCCAAACGCAGTAGTTGGGGGTGCTGGAAGCACCGGGTGAGGTACTTTTCTCGGGCGGAGGTATGCTAGATCCAACAGGTGGGACTCAATTCCCTCTCGAACACGTGTGTAGGGGTCATTCCATTTCTCATTCCCTGCTGAGAACCAACAAGTTTTTGAGGGCACCTTTTTCTGTGTCTGTCTGTTTTAAGGGTCTGGGTCTGTCTGTTTTTGGGTATGTTTTTTTTCCGGGTCTGTCTTTTTAAGGGTGCTTTTGTTTGGGTCTGTCATTCTCTTGTGGACACCCTTTGCTGGCTGGTTTCCAAGGGCACCATTTGCTATGGTCTCCTTTCTTCATTCCGAAAACGGAAACCATTCCCAACACCCTGACTCGGTTTCGCTTCGGTGGCGCATCGCTCCGAGTCACACGAACCCGACGAAGGGGCCGTCCACAGGGCCCGCAACGCGGTCTGGAGTAAAGTACAACCCAGCCGGTGTCTACTTCCCAAGTCTTGTTCTTTAAGTTTGTTTGTTTTAAATCAATAATATATATTCAGTTGTGCACATTTGTGTATGGCTAGCAGCAATCCTGCATTCGTAACTCACCGGCTGAGTTGAAGCTCAGTAACTCCTGGGCGACTTGGGTGATTGCCAATGGTGTGGCCTCTCGTATGCTTCCGTGGCGATTCGCATCAGTTGTATTGTGGTTGGAATACTTCTAGCTCCAAAACGACTTGAACGTGACAGGCAGGAGACAAAGGCAAAAGGGACATGTATCAAACAAAAAAGCGTCTGGAAATCTAACCAACCTCATTTACTGCAACCCTGGTCAGTTGCACCAGATCGACCTTCCAACACTCTTCTCAACTCTGGAGCTCCCCAAACGGTGCTATTTTGCAACCCAGCCCAGGAGAACTCTGAAAACGCACCAGGTTGATCATCCATTCGGCCACGAGACACCGTCCCAAACTCTTTGACCTCAAGGGCAACGTTCGATTCCGGTTCCCCCTCAAACAACCCGAAAGGGTGATGAGCCCTGAAAATTATCTCAAATAACTTCAGACTTGTTCTGATTCAATCGAACACAGCCTCACTTCCTGAGTGGACTGGCAAAGTCTGAACTTTTTATTTAACACTAAACATGGTCCAAACCCAAAGAGTGACTAAAGTCCGAACGGAACTCAGGGAGCGAGCAGCTTCGCCCAAAAAGTTCGGTTTATTTTTGCTTGGGGCTTCCCCCTTGGTTTGGTTTTTGGACACCACCCGCTACCTTTCAGTGTTCTTTTGTTCTTCATTTTTTTCTCTCGGAACTCGGGACTTGGACCGAGCCGCCAATCCAAACCCAGACAAAGTAAAAACGCATCTCACACGGCCGGTGTACCTTCCCAAAAAACTGACATAGAACCTCCACGGGAACCGATTCCCGGTTTATTCCATTTTAGTTCCAAAACTCACTCCTACCAAAAGGGACACGTCAGACTAAGCAAGGAAACTCACTCCTTCCTGCACAGGAAACGTGTCCTTCCAAAACTCGCTCCCACCCCTCAGACTAAAGGAGCAAGGAGGTCCCTCTTCAGTCTAGCTCCAAGTAGCTGAAGCCACAGCTTAGGCCTGATGGTTTCCCAACTGGCCTAATTATGGGTGTTCGTCCTTGTATCGTTGGTTTTTGTATCATTTATGTTGCCCATGTTTTGGCTTTTGCGCTCAAGTCGCCCAAGTCGGCTTGGCGACTGCCCCAAAAAAGCGTCGCCAGCGGTAAAAGGAGGCAGGGTTCTCGCTCGTGGCACGGCGGCAATCAAAAGTTGGCGTAATGTTTCTGTCCCAGGCATGTTCCAATTTTGGGAAAAAATGGTTGCCTTCCATCATTATTGGTGTGATTAATTTGGCTATCAACGCAAACCAAAAGAAACAGGATCTAACTGTAGAGTCCTTCCAATCTTGAGACGAACCCGCTTGCCGTTTAGACCAACTCTTTGGGACACCCCCGAAAAAAGCAAGCCGCTTTTGGTTGGTCAACCAAGCCAAACCAGAACTAAACCAAACATTCTTTTGGGTTGCTCATTTGCCACTAGATGTCTGTAATGTTCCATGAACTCGGCTTCGCCTCAACGGCCGCAGATTTGCTCGCTCAGTGAGAACCGGCTGCCATGGCAGCGGAGCAAGAGTGTTCAAATCGCCGGAGCAGCGCCCGTTTTGCCCGGCGCTCGGCTGCGAATAATGGGATGAAGGTTTTACAGCCCTTGAATCCGTGCAATATCCTGCAATTACTAAAGAGCTCTCCTTTATATTGGAGAAAAACACGTTGCCTCCTCAGCTTCTGCCATATTTTGGGAACCTGATATACAAGAGTAAAGCCCACAGAAGTCCTAACTGTGCCGGCGCACAAGCCGTCAACGCTCAAAACTTTGTTCCCCAAAGCCTTTAGGCATAGGAAACTAGATCCGTAAAGACCGGACAGTTCGACCAAAAACCTAACAAAGGCCCTGCTGTTCCAGAGACCAAACAGAAGCCAGAAAAGACTCCTCCTAAAATGGCCCCAACTTGCAGAATCAGCTTTGGGAGGGCATCAACTTTGGCTCTGCCAAAATGTTGTTTCTTCCAAGCTTCATATCGAACAACACTATCAGCAAGTTTCAAGATGTTGAACCAGCACCCCTTTTAGAGCAACGGAATCCGTTCTGGGGTTAGCCAAGTTTAGTGGGGAAGCCCTCTAATCAGAAGGGCAAAAGATCGATGGAACTCGCTGAACAACTGGGACTAGGTTCTTCGGGCGCTGCTCATGTGCCTCTCGCTCGCGATTACACGCGCGAGTTTCGGCAAGCATCCTGGCCAAGCGGCCAGGTGTATTTTTTTCCGGCTGGCATGTCTTACCTTCAAAGTTGGCATGTCTTAGCCTCAAAAGCACTACTACCAAGAATCGGCGAATTCAGGCAAGGACCGCGCTGGAGCTTCACCTCAGATGCAATCTGCATGAATCATCAATTGCTAAAGGCCCACCCGCCAGCAAATTGGCAAAGGGTCGGCAGGAACCTTCATAGAAGACGTCCTTAGGCTGCCCCAGCAAAGCCGTGTCCTCACAACCCTCTAAATGGTGGCGCGAGGGAAACTAGGCTTTCAACATGTTCACCTGCCTTTCTGGGGCAGCGGGGCTCCACCCTGAAGAATGTAGGATCGTGACGCCGGGGGAGGAAGGAAGCTAAGTCTTGCTGTTCAGCAGGCAGTCTCTATAAGGGATTTGTTCCGGCTCGTGCAAGCAAGTAAACCGGTGCTTCAACAAGGGGATAGCATGACTCTATAACACTTGTGATGCCAGCAAGGATCCACAGTAGTTGATGAGTTTGCGTCGCACGCTTGACACACAAGCACGCACACTCACATCAAACAATTGTCATCCTTCATGTGCCTCTGATGCTGCACTAGGGAGCCCTCGTTTTGTCAATCCAATGTGTTTCTTCGTCGAGACGTTGCCTGTCAAATGGTGAACACCACACACAGGACATGCTGCTACGACTCGCATGGGGTCATGGGCCCCCTCCAAGTGAGCGGCTCGACTTCTTTGGAGTTGGTGCCCCTCTTTTGGTGGTTTCAAAGGGAAACCGAAAGGAAAACACCATAGGCCCATCCGCCTATCCACCTATCACTGCTACTGTTGATTCTTCTGAAACGGGGCCATTCATTATTACCCTGCTACAGATTAACATGGAACCCACAAAAGCACAATTTCTAGAGGAAACTCTTTTGGGGGACTCCCCTTTTGGGTTCCATGAGAATTGCCAGGGGAGTACTTTTGGGACCGTTTGGTGGGTGTCAATCTATCTCCGACCACTTTGGAGGCGTTCTAACCAGTACTTTAGACGTTTGCAAACCGCTTACTTCTGCCCCGCCTGCTCTTGGTGTTGGACTCAAGCGTAACTGCTACATACTTTCAACCAAACTGGCCCCTTTGGAAGCCTGACCTAGAACAACTCTGAACTGAACCCAACTATGAAACAATCTATACTGACCTGAAACCAACCCACACCCCAAACCCCAGTCTCCATGGGTAAAAATGCTGCACCTTTCTTGGTAGTTTGTTTTACAGGTTCACGACCTTCCAAACAAAAACACTGGCCCGAGAAACAATTCAACTAGGTTTTCTAGAGGTTAGAATAAGGGTACCAACTCTTTTCTGTAATCTATTTTAGTAGGGTTAGGAATCCTCCCAACCAAAAAAAGGTAAAAGAGCGGGCACCTAGCTAAGGGACCTAGACAAGATTTGAAAGGGCCCCAGGAAGTATTGATCGATTCCAGTAGTGATCGATCCCTTTTACAACCAGGGGGTTCAAATCCAGTTCCTGCCCTTCTATACGCACGGAAGGGAAACCTAGCTGGGGGACCTAGCCTCTGCAAGAACCAGGGGTTCCAATCCCCAGTGCCCCACCAATCCCCAGTGATCGATTCCTTGTACAACAAAAAACGGGGAAGTAACAAAAAAAGCTCGGGTGATATCCCCAACAGCATGCGGTTCTCTTTTTAGTGCTCGCACCAACCCGCAGCCCTCGCAGAACCTCGTGGAACCCTGGTGGAACCCTGGTGGAACCCTGGTGGAACCCTGATGGAATCCTCGTGGAGCCTTACCTCAGGGCCGCCCCAGACCACCCCGGAGCCTATCTGGGCTGAGACCCCGAAGCTTTCAGCTGCTGGGGAAAAACATATCAAACAAATCGAAACTGACACCAAAACTGACACCAAAACTGAAAGTTTCTTAACTAAGTTTAAGTATGTAAACCACAAACCGACGCCACAACTCGGCATCGCCTCATCTTCCAAGGTGCACAGTGGCCAGCGGCGCCTCCAAATGCATCACCTAGCGGCGGCTTCTGGGGGCAAGGGCGATGAAAAAAACCCTCCATTCAACTCCCCCAATCGAAGGCGAATCGATTCCCCAATGGAAGGCCGGTTTTCCAGGGCTTCAGGTTCCTTTTGTCAACTAGAAGCCTCCATTTGCTTATATAAGCCCCCTGGAAAAAATGAGAAACTATGTCCGATTCCCTGTAAAATCAGCAAGGGACAATTAAAAGTATTCTTAAGCAAATGGAAGAACCCATTGCTTCAGCCACTTTTGGGTTGGGTCGGATCCGGTCGAATCAACTTGGGCAAGAAAGAACAAGGGGTTCATTCATAGCCGGGTGCCCTGTGTGTCTGAGGCTTCAGTTCTGGGCGCAAGCTACTCTAAAACAGCTGGGTGGGTCTTCTTCCTGAGGAACAACGAGGAAACATTCAATGGTTTCAAACAAATGAGCGTGTCTTTTTTGAGGGCACTCCCCTTTTTAGTAGGCTTTAAACGGAAACCAAAAGGAAAACCAAGGCATTTTGGGGGTCCGATTCCTAGAAACAAACACATCCGAATCTAGCGTTTAAAGAGATCCGCTGAAGACCAGCCACGGCTCTGAAGACCCGAACTTGTGTTCAGAAAGCACACATCCCCCCCGGTCTCAGGGGCCATGTTTGAAAGAGAAAACGTCTTTCTCCCTGGCAGGGATCTGAAGAAGCGTGGCCATGGGAGAACAAGACCAGGCGATCTAGATCTAGGCGGCTTGTCTTTTCCAGGGTACCTGCTTTTGGTGGGCTTTAAAGGGAATCCAACAGAAAAACATGTGCACATATATATATATATGTAAAGTATATTGCGTATATGTATAAATAATTACATACATGTATATATATATATACATATATATATATATATATGTATATATATATATGTATATATGTATATATATATATATGGGGTGGGGGTTCTCCAATAAATACACACCCATCTTTTACTTTGCTCGGTTTACTTTTTAACGGAAGCCCCCTTCCAAAGCGAAACACATCAAAACCAACAAGTTGCCTCAAGGCGTGAGGGGTTGGGCGGTAACCCAACAAGGCGGAGGTGTAACGTGTAACCCCGGCCGCCTTTTCAGACCCAATTCAACGCATAGGCGTCCTTTGACTGGTTAGATGGAAAGTAGATGGCGCCGGCGCCATGATTGGTTTACCTGTTTTCGATCAACTATGTTTCAAAGATGTCTAAAGTGCAACTATTTCAAAGTCTGGGGTCCTTGCAACGTCTTTCTGGAAGTTGCAACACCAACCTAATCTGCTCAAGCGCGGCATAGGTGGGGCAACGTGGGCGTCTCAAAATTGAGGGCCCCCCCTCGAAATGATGGACTTTTCTGTTGGCTTCCCTGAAAAGCATCGAAAAGGTTCCCTCAAAAAGGACACGTGGCCATATTTCAAAACCAATGGTACCATTTTGGGATAGTTGCACCCATTTTAGTCTACTTTAGTGGGGATTGAGATGTTCACTGGGGGTACGATTTGGGTTTTGACCCATGGCCACGTGGCACGTGTGCCACGGGGTGACTGGGGCTATCCGTCCGTCTCAGTACCGGCAAGGGTGAGTCTCGCTGTCCGTCCGTCCAAGTCCCGAGTCCGAGCCGCGTAGTCCTCGTTCTGCTGGATCTGGCGGCTCCTTCGCAGGAAGCCCATCATAGCCACCACTGCGCCCACTGCGGCGAAGAACCTGGCGGCCCGGTAGCTGCTCAAAGTGGTTCGGATTCGGAGCCTTTTTGGGTTGGCATTTAAAGGGAAGCCGAGTTTCGAGGTTTGACACTTTGGAATTCCAGAGTTTCAAAGGTTCCAAACCCTGGTTCGGATTCGGCCCCTTTTTGGGTTGGCATTTAAAGGGAAGCCCAAAAACAACCATTCTTAGAGATTCTTAGAGGATCCCAACAATTTCTTTGAAACTTATGGTTGAACTAGCCAAACAAGAAGTGGCGTTGTTTTCTTTTTGGCCGTTACCTAGCCATACAAACGTCGTTTTCTTTTCCAACCAATAAACCCAGCCCCTTGAACCAGCCACCAAGCTCTGTCCAAAGCTCCCACGTGTATCTGGAAACCACTGGACGGATCGGTCCATGTTTTCTCTGGGCTCAAAGGCCCTCGTTTCGCTTTTTGCGGAACCAATCCCTAGCTGAAAGAGGATACCCTCAAAGACAGTGGCCGGAAGTCAGGATATCCACAGTTCGCTGGATCGATAGAGTTGCTTTCAACTTGTTTGGTTGCAGGGTTTATCTACTCCGGCAGCTGTGGAACCAACACCCATCTCTTGAGGAACCACTTTTGGGGAAGGACCCCAACAACTTTTTTTCCTTCTGATAAGTCCAGTCTGTCGGAGGGCTCAACCTGTAGATAAGACGGGGGTTCAGCGATCGATTCGCTTTGGACAAGTGAGGTGGTTGGGCGGTCCCAAACGATGCGTCGATGCAAAAAGCCAGCATGGCAAACGGGTGTCCAAAGTTTGGAATGTCCAAAACTACAAAATGCGTGCAGAAATGCATAGGCTGCCGCAAATCGCTTTAAAAAGGTTCAAGAACAAACTCCGGGACACTGGAACTCTGGCAATCTTCAGGGATCACAATCTCCCATTCGATGCTATGCTTCTTTATGGAGGTGCGAATGTCTTACCACAGGCGGCATTAGTCCTAGTTGTCACAATGGAGATAACCGACTTTCCCGACAGCTTGAACATCCTCCTGTCGCTGATCTTAAGAGGACATGGCAAACAATGGGCTGCTCATGTGGGTCTCTCTTTTTTGTGGGAACGCCCCGTTTGGGTGTTAAAAGGTCGTTTGCGACGGACTCTTTTAAATCGCAGACTCTTCTTGAGACAGGTATAACCCGGATTAGAAAACTCATGGTCTCACTTCCGATCGAGTGGCTTGGTCAGAAACACATACTAAATTTCTTGTTAACCATTCGCATGGTCCAAACCCAAAACGTTACAAGTCCCGGACCTCAGGAAGTGAGCTGGTTGGCATAGGGAAACCGAAGAACACCAACCATTCCTCACTTGCCCAAAAGACCTGGAAATAAAAGGTGATCACCTTTTGGGACCTTTACTAAAAATGGGTACCAAAATGGGAAAACCAAAAGGTCAGATCCGGTCGATTCGCTTTGGGCAAGTGAGATTCTTCAAACCAAAGGTTCGAGTCCAGGAAGTCAGGCAGCGAGTTGTCGTGTAACCCCCTCCCCGCCCGTTTTCGCCATTTGGGCGTGGGTCAAAAATAGGTACCCAAAACGGAACCCTGGAAAAGGAAACAAGGACTAAAACCTGCGGTCCAATTCCTGGTGGTGAAATTTTGACCCATACCCATTTCGCCGTTTCGCCGAGGCACACCGTGCCCAGCTGCATGGCGTGGCCGCTGCTTTCCAGCAGCATCACCGTGGACACCGTGGAGTCCGAGCCTGTCTGGTGCTCCTGAGCCTCCCAAGCGGCCCGGGCGGGCGGAAGATGTGGGTTGTGTCCCAAAAGAGTTACCACAGCTGGTGGACAACTAACAAAAAACAGTTCCGTTCAAATGGCCAAAGAAATATATCCCACCCCAAAGCCCAGCGCGCGGTTTCGTTTCTCAAGTTGCGTGCCTCGCGCTCCAGCTCCTCCTTCAGCATTTGCTTCTCCTTCTCGCGCTCCTCCTGGCTTGCTCGAGTGCAACCAACCATGACCAACCATGTCCTTTTAGGCGCGAAATAGATGGGTTTGACTGGTAGATGATTCAACCACCAGGTAAACCAGGGACACCCATCTATTTTTCTCCCAAAACAACCAAAAAGGACACCCATGCTACCAACTGGTTGCTTGAAGGAAACAGAAGGAAAGCTTAAAAGTTCGTCCAAAGGGAAAGACACTTCTCACTTGCCCGAAGGACCTGCAAATAAAAGGTTATCACCTTTTGGGACCTCTACTAAAAATAGACCAAAAAGGGAAAACCAAAAGGTCATTTCAGGCCGATTCGCTTTGAACCACTGGTCGACTTTCCAAGGAAAGCAGAATGCCAATGCAAAGGCGGCCAGGTAATTTGTTTGAAGGAATTTTTGGGGGTCCCTTTTTTATTTTTTCCAATTGAAAAAGCTCCCGTTTGATTCTGAGGGTGGTCCGAATTGCCTCCCGGTGCACAGCTCCGCTTTTCCCATTTCTCACTTGCTCAAAGTGAATCTCCGGATCTGACCTTTTGGTTTTCCCTTGGTCTATTTTTAGTAGAGGTCCCAAAAGGTGATCACCTTTTATTTGCAGGTCCTTCGGGCAAGTGAGATTTGGGTGTGTCTCTTTTGACCTCCTTTTTTTTTCAGAAAGGGACCCTGTGAGCGTTTGGTTTTTGCACACACCTAATTTTGCTGCATTCTGGCCAAAACCGAGGAGAAAAAAAAGGATTCTGGGACAATGTGCTGGTATCATGCAAACAGTTCTCCACCTTACCCCCCCCTTGCAGATGTCAGGCTCCTGTCCAAAACCGAAAAAAAACATCGAGAAATCGAAAGATTCTGGGACAATGTGCTGGTATCATGCAAACAGTTCTCCACCTTACCCCCCTTGCAGATGTCAGGCTCCTGTCCCAAAACCGAAAAAAACATCGAGAAATCGAAAGATTTTGTCCAAAACCAAAAAAAACCTCGAGAAATCGAAAAAAACCAAAAAAAACAAAGATTCTGGGACAATGTGCTGGTATCATGTAAACATTCTGTTGGCCACATTGGTTTTTTTGGTTTTTTTCGATTTCTCGAGGTTTCTTTCGGTTTTGGACAAAATCTTTCGATTTCTCGATGTTTTTTTTGATTTTGGATGGTTTCTCTCGAATTCTCAATGTTTTTTTTGATTTTGGACACCTTCTTTTGATTTCTCGATGTTTCTAAGGCTGCCTGCAGCAAAAGCTTCAACACAGGACAGCTTTGCAAGAAAGAGCTTAGAAGGTTTTCAAACACCAAACAACAAGAAAACCAAAGGTGTGGCCAGCCCGACAACACAGCTTCAGGTGACAGCAAGCCCGACAGAGTCCTTAGCTTCCAGCCAGCTTGCACCCAGCCCCAGCCCAGCTAGCTTAGAGAAGAAACAGTTCAGCGTAAAGAAGTTTTTTGGAACACCAGAGCAGCAAGCCAAGGAGATAGAGCCTGTGCTATCTAACAGGGTAGTTCCATACCAGAGGCAGCAGCAGAGCAAGCTGCAGAAAGAAGCTGCACTAGTGATGTCAGCTTACCTCCAGAAGCTAGCAGAGCTGGAGAAAGAAGACCCAGAAGAAGCTGTAACAGGCAGACAAGGTGGCAGGCCTCCAGTTCTGGAAGAGCGTAGAGGAACTGCAGGTGGGCAGTTAAGCAACAGGAAGAAGGAGACAGATCCTTCCAGGAAGCAAGAGCTTTTTGCCTTTCAGAAGATGAAGCTTAGTGAAGAGATTCAAATGATTCTGGAAGAGTCTCAGCCTCAGAAGCAGAAGCTTGGGCAGTTGCAAGGAGAAAGTTCAAGATGAGCACACAGAGGCTGGAAGATTGCAGAAGAGGTTTGCCAGAGCAGCTAGTGGAGGGAGAAAGAGAGAGTTTAGCAGAGAGATCTCTCAACTTGGCAAGTGGTTGCAGAAAGAAAGGAGTTATAGCCACAACGTTTCAAAGAATGAGCTGCTGAAAGAGTTCTTTGCCCTTCTGGTTGCAAGGGCAGAGAGATGCATGGTCAGGGCAGAGCTTTGCAGAAATGAGATGCAAAGGAAAGCTTGGCTGAAAGAAGCTGACTGTGCCCTACAGAGAAAGACCAAGCTGCAGCAGAGCTCAAGGTATGCAGCTTCTTATGTATTATGTAGAGAAGCTGATCCAATGGCTAGGTGCAGCTTACTTGAGCAAAGATCAGACTACTCGCCTGGCACCAGTTGAAGAACAGGCGCGGGCCCAGCCTTCCAGGATATTGACAGAAAGCTCTGGCATCTAGGTGCTTGCTCCAGTTGCTGAGATTGAAGATGCACATTTGGTTGCAGATGCAGAGATGATAGTTAAGAAACGATCCTCACTGGTAATCGGCACGAGTGATCAAGTCCCACTTTGGGCCAAAGATCCAAGCAAGAAGTTGGTCTTCAAAGGTGCCAGTTGGGACGACAGAAAGAGGTGGACTGAGATCAGGTAGGAGCTGAAAGCTGCTTAAGTTCAGGCAGCTGAAGAAGGTTACCAGCTTGTCAGTTGGGCAGATGTAGGAGCAGGGCCTCTCAAAGTTGCAGGTAATAAGGTGATGACAGGACAAAGTTCAGATGAAAAGTTTCGTTTAACATACGAAGCTTGCCAGAAGATTTACATCCACGATCTCCTTGAGATCCTCGTAGGTCATGTCTTCTGCTGCAAGTGCCATCTTAGCCCAGAGTGGAGGGTGGGACGACTCAGTGCAGGATGCAGATGGATGAGATGCTTTCTAGCTGGCCAAAGTTGCAGCGCAGATCGCGGTCAGAGGATATATACACACATAACTGCACACAACTCCCCAATTCGGAAAAACACTCGTTTCACATGGAAAATACCCACGCTGAGGGGGTCCCCCTCTCTTTTTTTTTGCGGGCTGGTTTTAAAGGGACACCTTAGAGGGACACCCCCTTTTTTTCCTCCCCCAAACCCCCTCCCCGGAACCCTCCAGCACCTTCCCAAGCTGCCCCATAACCACCTGGGCATATCGACCAAATCCATATCTTTCAGCTGTTGCTTGGAAAAAAAAAAAAAAACAACATGACTCCGCCAACCTCCCCCAACTCTTAGAGAACCAACACACTTGCTGGTGCTCAGCAGGGAATGAGGGAATGACCCTTAACCATCCCTTGTGGTTTCCTTGATTCAGGATTCTCCTTCCGGTTCATTGCATTTCTCATTCCCCATCGCACCGATCGCACCGATCTCACCACCCCCACTGGATGATCTGTCGGTTGGAAGGGAGCCATTTGGGAGCCGGGGTATCCAAATCCAAATCGACCTCGGATTCCTGGTCCTCCTTGTGCCCGGTTCATTCCATTCTGGGGTTGCCCGTGTTTTTTTCTATTTTCCATCGCGCCGTCCATATTTAACCCCCGACGCCCAAATTCGAAACATCGCCGAAATCGACATCGGCTAGGTCCTCCAGTGGAGAGGTTGGAATCAGGGTGCCAACTTCTTTATGTTGTCTATTCCAGTAGGGGAACCCTCCCAACCAAAAAAAGGGGTAAAAGAAAAAGGCACCTAGCTGGGGGACCTAGTTTCGGGGACCCCAAAAAAGTGGGAGTCCTCTTGGTCTCCCTGTAAAACCAGCAAAAAAAAAGGTGAGAAAGGGCACCTAGCTGGGGGACACAGCGCCGGAGTCGACGCCGACGTCGGAGTCGGAGTCGCCTGCTCGCGCTTCATCTCCGCCTGCAGGCGCTCGTGCTCTTCCGCGAGCTCCGCGTGCAGGCGCTGCTTCTCCTCCCGCAGCTCCTGGCAACCAACCGGACCAAGTGGCCGAGTGACCGGCCGACGGCGGGGCGAGCGAAGCGGGTGACCCACGGACCGGGTGAGGAGTCACTTGGGAACACGAAAGGTGGGTGTGGCATGATTGTGTTTTCTTCTTTCTTATTTTTTTCTTCTGGGAATAGTGCTTTTTGGGTCCGAGCGAGTGGATTAGGCAACCAAATTGACCAAAATGTTTGAAAGTTTTACGCCTAAAATGGTGACTAAGTCCCAAAAACTTAGGGCTGGGACGATAAGTTACGAAAAAGATCCAGGTAGCAGGACATGTCAACCAAATGCGTTGATCACACTTGGGGTTCCATGCGTTCACCGATTGTTAAACACTCCAAAAGGCTACATAGGAGGTGTTTATTATTTGAGTAGCTCACAAACAAATGGTTGTCTCAAGTTTCACTCTCCAGTTGGGGCGTACTGAAAGGGCGTCTAATAGAATATTCGACTTCATGGGGGCTGGGGGGGAGGGAAGGGAGAGGGAGGAAGCCCAAATAAGCCATTATTAAGCCCCCAATAAGGCCTTATTCCGGGCTTATTTGGGCTCCCTCTCTCCCCCCAGCCCCGTTGTGGGATGGCCCACACAACCTGCTCATGAGCCTGGCACCTCCACCCAAAGCAAAAGCACGGCTTCAAGGCATCGATATACTCAGTCGTTCAGTGACCCTGGAAAAAAAAGGGAACCCTTTTTGGGGCTTGGACAATTTTTAGTGGAGGAGCCACCAAAAAAAAGAAGAAGGGGAAACAGGGTGCCACTGAACAACTGAGTATACATATACGCGCTGATTTGTCTGTCGCACAGATCTGTATGCGCCTGTAAGCCAGGGCTTGCCTTTTCCACTGAAATGAACAGCCTCCCTTGAAAAGGATCTGTACACTACCAGGGGGGCTGCTTATTTATCCCACAAACAGTGGACAAGGCAAACCATGCTGTAAACTGCAGAGGTAATGCTATATAGCTTCCACTTGCATTTCATGCCATAGACGAATCATATACACAACGTCACAAACAGTTTCCTTTCGGCAAAATAGGCCAAATGGGTACCTGAGGGCAAACCCACGCACACACACACAAAGAACTTTTCTTTGAAAACGAGGACTCACCTGCAGCAAGCAGCACTCTCAGCCCGCTGGCTATCTTCCCGTTGCCCTGGCACCAAACAAGATCTCCTGAAAACATACATTTTCCAGGTACAAGAGCCTGTATAATGAGATTGGAAGGCTGGTCTACTTTTAAGCCATATCATTCTGGAGTAGACCATTGGGTGCTTTTGTTCGGGGACCCCCGATTTGTTTAATAAATAACCAACATATAAGGCACTAAAACTAGGTCCTCCAATGGAGAGGTTAGAACCCATTTTCCTGTAGTCTATTTCAGTAGGGGAACCCTCCCCAAAGAAAGAGTAAAAGGGCACTGCTGGAGGACCTAGAAAACACAGTATTTTTTTCAAGTTTGGTTTCCATTCAAACCCACAAAAAGGGCCGTAAAAAAAATGACACCCACACACACACACACCATTCGTCATTGTTTTGCCCCTTGACCCTCCCTCAAGTGCGATGTCAAGAGAAGTGCCAATGACATGGTCCAACCGCTCCTTAGTCGTGGCGTCCTCCTTGGCAGGGGCAGGGGCATCGCCCTTGGGCTCCTGCGGAATGTGAGGCTCGAGTCAAAGAGGTGGTGATCTGAACCCTCACTCAGATGCCCAGTGGATTTCCATGCGAAAAAAGGGCACCCTTTTTTTATGGTTGAGTTTAAAGGCGAACCCCTGCACAAAGAAAATATTTTAAATAAAAGGTGCCACTGGGCGACTGGGCTCAAAAGGCCCGATTTTGGTCGATGTTGGAAGGGTGTTCCTTTCCCCTTGAAAAAAGCATGAATTTCCGGGCGCCCGTGGGTGCCTTGTTTCGTGGTTACCGAACCGCTTCGTAGGGTTCTTCGCTCTACCAGTAGGACATCGCATCCGTGAACCTTTCATGTGATTCGACAGCTGGCATATGGGTGACGCTTCCCCTCAGCGGGGAACCCGTGCTGTGAGTGGGTTGCTGAAGATGGTTCCCTCCTCCAACTTCAAGCGGGGTGGTTTGCAAAAGACAGACTCGTGTGGGTCCAAACGTAGGGATCGTCTAGCAAAATGGGTCACCCTGGTAAACGGACAAGATAAAAACCCAACGGTGCAAGTCCTGGCTCTTCAACTTTACGCCACACATGAAAGAACCCCAAAAGCCGAGACAGGGACCTTCTTGACAAGCTCGCTCGCGGGGACGGGTCCGACAACTCGGGGTCGAGTAAATGGTTGCATGGGTTAAATGGCCTTTGATGCCAACGAAGGCAGCGACGGTCCCTACAATTTGAGTTGGAATCTATGGTAACTCGTCTGAACAAAGGACGAACAAATCGATGCTTCTTGCGTGCGCAGTTGAAGAAAAGAAAACAAAGAGACCCCAAAGCCAATCTAGATCAACCGCTTTGATTGTATCTGACTGGGTCTCCACCTAGAACGAAAGGCCAACCGCCTCGCTCGGGTTGGTTCTAAAGAAAAGCTATATAAGAGGGAAGCAACAATCTCGGTGTGACTTTGACGGGGGATTCCGGGGCCCCTGCGGTGAACATCCAGATTCGGTGAGGATTCACGTCCAGCAACCCCTTGTGAAGTGGTTCCAACCATTGAGATGTGTGGCCATTCGCCTTCGGGTTCCATGTGTCATCCTCACAAATGTTGTCCCGCAAGCCATTCCAGCTGGAAAACATACCGAAGAGGGTTCCCCAGGGTCCAGCAAACCGCTCGCCCGGAAAACATTGCACACAGAAAACCGCTCACCCGCCTGGCTCTCGACCAGCAAGACCGCCTGGAATCCCAATGGCTTACTAAACCTGCCCCACGCACACACAAACGACACACACACACACACAAACACACACAGACACACGCAAAAAAACAACAACAACAACAACCAACCAACCAACCAACCAACCAACCAACCAACCAACCAACCAACCAACCAACCAACCAACCAACCAACCAACCAACCAACCAACCAACCAACCCACCAACCCACCAACCGACCAACCAACCAACCAACCAACCAAGCAAGCAAGGAAGGAAGGAAGCAAGCAAGCAAGCAAGCAAGCACGCACGCACACACATCAACACGCACATGCACACGCACACGCACACTCAAACAGACACAAACAAACAAACAAACAAATCAAATTAAGCAACTTAACTAACCAACCCACCCACCCACCCACCCACCCAACCAAACAAACAAGCAAACACAAACACACAGACACACAAACACCTCACACACACACACAAGCACACACACACACACATTCACCCACCCACCCTTCCAAGCGCGAACGCGCGCACAAATGCATGCGCGCAAGCAGGCACGTGCGCGCACACAAAACCACACGCACACGCACACACACACACACACAAAACCACCCACATACACACACCACACCATACCAAACCACACCACACCACACCACTCCACTCCACTCCACTCCGCTCCGCTCCGCTCCGCTCCGCTCCACTCTACTCCACTCTACTCCACTCCACACCGCACCGCACCGCACCGCACCACACAACACAACACAACACAACACAACACAACAAAACACAACACAACACAACACACACCACACCACACCACACCACACCACACCACACCACACCACACCACACCACACCACACCACACCACACCACACCTCAACACATCACAACACACCACAACACACACACACACACACTTAAGGCACGGTCAGAACAACATTTTTCCACAAGACATCATGGGAATATTCGTGAGTCCGTTGTTTTTTGCGGGAAATTTAGGGCTTGTCCCCAATGTCCCTCTCAAATGGACCGAGCCGTACATGAAACAAGTGGACCCCAACTTAGGGATTTTCACTTCTTTCACCTAAACAAGTGTACTAATTAGTTGGCTACTGGAAAACCTCACATTTTGCTGTGGCTCAAAAAGATGTACCACCATCACACCTTGGTAAATGGAACCAAAGACTAAAACCTGCGTAAGCCTGGCTCTGTAATTTTGAGCCACACCCACATTTTGCTTGGGCTGGGGGGGTTTTCCAGTCACCAAATCACCCCACCTTGGGCTTGGCGCTCTCGGAGGAGCTGCCGCGGTCCTGAGGATTTTCGGATTTTCCGCTGCTCACGTCAGCTCCAGTGGAGTGGCTCCGATTTTTCCTGGTTGTTTTCCTGGAAAAAAAACAAGGCGGTTTACTCTCCTGAGGGGATTGGCAAAAACAAGTAACCAAACTTTGTGTTTACCAACCAGACTTGTCCAGACCCAAAAAGTGACTAAAGTCCGAAACGGAATTCAACTGGCCATGGGTCAAAACCCAAATCGTACCCCCAGTGAACATCCCAATCCCGAATAAAAAAAACTAAAATGGGTCGTGCACCGAAAACCCCAAAATGGGATCCCATTGGTGTTGAAGCATGGCCAGGGGTGAGACTAACATGGTCTTCCCCAAACTTAAGCGCGGAAACTTGGGAAGTGAGAACCCACCCCCCACGTCGGTTCTCAAGGCTAGCCTTCACAAGCCCGTGTGCTTCTTTTTCCGGTGCGCCGCAACCAGTAAATGACCGTTTCGCTGGAACAAGCAACAGAATTCTATTGGCGGACGTGCAAATGCGGCTAATTCATGCACGCAAACACACCACACGTAAAAGCTGATCCTTTCCCGTTGAGTGGACGCAAACCTCAAGGTCTCCAGGCGTTCAAATGGTCGGCTCGTGCTCGTCTTTTTTGAGCTGCCCTTTTTGTCAAGGGTTTGAACGGAAGACAGGCACTGAAACAAAATGGTTTGAGCCTCTCTGTCTCCATCAAAATAAAGAATCTAGAAAACTGCCTGGTGTCCTCATTGTTTTCGCCTGGACCATCTGGAACAACTCCCAGGCATTAATTTGGGTCGTTCCTCCCATTGTCTAGCCATGCCTTTGAGAAATCACAACTTTCCGCAGTGTTGGATGCCATTCTTCTAGGGGCGCGTTCCCAATCTTTCCAGGGATCCTTCTTTCCAGAAAACCTCCAGAAACCCAGGGAAAACGGCAGGTTCTTGAATGAAAAGAATGGGGAATCAACCCCTGGAATTCTCCTTGCGAATCCTGAAAAAAGAATGGGTACAGCTCCACATGAACATGTGGCGTCGAAACCAATGATAAAAAACAAGACGCCTCGGGTCACCGGAACCGTTTTCAAGTCAGTGAGGTATGAAGCATGTCCAATGTGCGTATATACACATATACATGGATTCATTTATGTTATGCAAATGTGCATACACCTAATCATACATCACATTTGTACTGGGTTTTATCATGGTACCTTGCCTTTTCCATGGTGGAAGCCTCTAACCTGATTTGTTGAACCAAATTCGGTCCTTGAGGTAGTGCTCGTAGTCCTTGGCGTATTTGTCCATGAAGTCCTTCATGCCGTCTGCCGCGTCCTTGCCCTCGCTCTTCATGTACTGCTTGTAGTCCTAGGCTGCTCCAATGGTCCAAAGACCCTCAAAAAAGGGTATATGCCCGAGTAAATTCACTCAGAACCTGGAAATTACATGTCACGTGATCACCTTTTGGGACCTTCAACATAGGGAAAACACAAGAGGTAAGTGTGATACGCTTTGGGCGAGCAAACCACAAAGCAATTGGCTACCCTTGACCATCCCAACCCCAAGCTAAGAGGTCGTTAAACCATGGCACATGTAACTCAGGTGCCAGTGATCCTGGCAGAAACAAGGCCCTTTTCGTTTGGTTGAGCAGTAGTAATAGGGAACACAGGACAAGAGGAGGCCAACGGCGCCCAAACACTTCCAAATCCTCGTTGTCAATACAACTGAAATGGCTGATCTGGAGTGACACAGTTGTTTCCCTAACGTCAAGCGGATCTGAGTGCGGCATAGTGCCTCTGGTTAAAAACTCTGGGTAAGGCCTCTGCATCACCCCAAAAAAACCTAGTCGTCAAAATGGGTATGTATCAAAAAAACAGAGAAAAACATAAGAAGAACAAAAACACAAGGCACCCCCGAAAAAGGTGTGTTTTTTGTGTTCCTTCAAAAGCGCCACACACTCACAGGGTAACCTCCAAAACAAGACACACGCATATTGGGCTCCAGTCAATACAGTTCCTTCAAGCCTTGAGAGCCTTCGCCTGATCTTTCCGAGTTCTATGGAAAGTCTCAAGACGAGTTTTCTTTCAGCATCGCCGCCGTCCCAAAAGAAGCTATCTTACACTCAGCTGACACAACCAACTTCCAACATTGCAAAAAACACTCATACACACGAACAGACCTACACTAAATGCATATATGTACTTCTTTTCATATCGTTCTGGTGTTTGTTTCTTATTTGTTTACACCTCAAGGCCCCTTCGACCTCGCGATTTCAGGTCTTTGGGGCTCCTTGTGGCCCTCACATTTAGGGTCCAAAAAGCTGAGAAGACTCCATCTGCAAGCTACTGCTTTTGCCTTCGCCCTCCCTCCCCCCCTCTCCTCCCACCCCTCTCCCCCTCTCCCTTCCCCCCCCTTTAAAAAAAAAAAAAAAAAAAAAAAAAAAAAACGACGGCTCGCCCCCCCGTCCCCCCCAAAAAAACCGACGGATGCGTTCCCTTTCTTCTCGGGGGCCTGGAAGTACTTCTGGAAGTCCCCGGCCGCATCGGCGCCGCGGGCCTTGACGTAGTGCTTGAACTGGGCCGCCTGGCCATTCATGTACTTCTCGAAGTCCTCAGAGTTTTGTGGTGCTCAGACTCTGGTTTGACCCATTCTTTGTGGGTCTTCAAGAGAAAACGTCTGTTTCGAGGATGCCAAATTTGGGTGGGTGAAGTCTGGTTTGACCCATTCTTTGTGGGTCTTCAAGGGAAAACGTCGGTGTTGAGAATGCCAAATTCTCGTGGGTGAAGTCTGGTTTGACCCATTCTTTGTGGGTCTTCAAGGGAAAACGTCGGTTTGGAGGATGCCAAATTTGGGTGGGTGAAGTATGGTTTGACCCATTCTTTGTGGGTCTTCAAGGGAAAAAGGATGCCGTCGGTTTTGAGGATGCCAAATTGCCAAATTTGGGTGGGTGAAGTCTGGATTGACCCATTCTTTGTGGGTCTTCAAGGGAAAACGTCGGTTTTGAGGATGCCAAATTCTCGTGGGTGAAGTCTGGTTTGACCCATTCTTTGTGGGTCTTCAAGGGAAAGCGTCGGCTTGGAGGATGCCAAATTCTCGTGGGTGAAGTCTGGTTTGACCCATTCTTTGTGAGTCTTCAAGGGAAAACGTCGGTTTGGAGGATGCCAAATTTGGGTGGGTGAAGTCTGGATTGACCCATTCTTTGTGGGTCTTCAAGGGAAAACGTCGGTTTTGAGGATGCCAAATTCTCGTGGGTGAAGTCTGGTTTGACCCAATTTTTGTGGGTCTTCAAGGGAAAGCGTCGGCTTGGAGGATGCCAAATTCTCGTGGGTGAAGTCTGGTTTGACCCATTCTTTGTGGGTCTTCAAGGGAAAACGTCGGTTTGGAGGATGCCACATTTGGGTGGGTGAAGTCTGGTTTGACCCATTCTTTGTGGGTCTTCAAGGGATTTGAGAATGCCAAATTTTCGGGGGTGAAGTCTAGTTAGACCCAATCTTTGTGGGTCTTCAAGGGAAAACGTCTGTTTTGAGGATGCCCAGTTTTAGTGGGCTTGAAGAGACAACAAGAGACCTTGGTAAAGGCTAAAAGGAAACGATCACTTCCTGTCTGCTTTGAGGATCACCGATGTTTAGTGTGTTTGAAGGGAAAACAAGAGGAGACCACCTGAAAGCTGGCCCCAAAGTGATTTGAAGAAACCCCTGCCCAAAGACTGCTCACAGAAACACACACACAATCAAGTCGCAGAAGCCAACAACATGTTCTTAAGTTGACAGCCATTGCCCAGAAAGTCATGCTGATCAATTTCGCAAAGTGGTCATAAAGGGACACCCCACTCCGAAAGTAATTCGGAAAGGCCCTGAATGTCAGTTAAACAACATCCCAACATGGTTCACAAAAGAACAGGGACATCACTTGCATTACGGGGGCCACATCCTTTCGAACAACCCAGAACTGGATTTTTCTTTGACCCCCTGCACAAAGCCACACTCTTTGAGGGTAAGAGAGAAGACATCTTTAAAAAAAGTCGAAAGGCTGAAGTTCGAAGTAAACAGAAGTGGCCCGAAACTGAGCGCCCCTTCGCAAATTGCTGGCTGGAATGACCTTCTTGGTCTTCGGAATGAGCCGGAGGTGGATTCCCTTCAAGGAATCCATAGGGCTTGACCTGGCACCCAGCTCGACTTTGTCTCGGTCCTTTGAGGCGTTCACGCCCTTGCCCTTGACGTAATGCTGATAGTCCTGCTCCGCTTGACTCGGAGGACAAGCGGGACTGCAAAGCCACGGGGTTGTGAAGTGACTGATGGTCAGCGGAACACGTGGACTCAAGTTGTTTGAGTTCAGGAACCCTCCCGAAACAGCTGGTGGGACCCACTTGGATGAGTCAAGGGTTGCTTCCTGACAAACTTGTCACAGGAGCCGCTCAAAGCCCTCCAGTCATCCTGTCATCCTGGCGTGGTTGGAGAATAGGCCGAGAAGAAGGCACGCAAACTGGAATCACGTATGCCACAAAGGACAAGAAGTCAGAGGGAAACACACATCAAGGTCATTCTTGTGATCTTTCAAGAGCTCAGGCCTTTGGACCAAAATGACCAACACAGAACAAGAGATCTTCGTTGCTTGGCTCAAAAAACCGGTACCATGGAACCCAAAACCTGCGCTTTGCCCGCCCCGATCGTGAGACATTTTGAGCGAGCCTCGTGAAGCTTCTGCTTGGCGGGGGAGCCCTCGGCCAGCAGGGCCGGTGCCTCGACGCAAAGGGGGGGACGAAGAAAAACGCGCGGAACGCGAGCCCGAGCCGGTCTTAAAATGACCCGAACTCACTTCCTGAGTGGACTGGCCAAAAAACACTGTATACATATATATATATATATATATAATACCAACAAATGTGGCTTTCTAAAAAGTTTAAAGTCCAGAAACTCGGTCAGTAAGCGAATGAAGGACTTGGACCCTCAAAGACCCCCAAATGAGAAGGTCGGTCTTGGGCCCCGCACGGTTGGAGCGCCTTATGGTATGTTCTTCAGGCGGCAGATTGCAAGGGTCCAAAGGGGATGTTACAACCCAGGCAAGAATGAAGACTCGCTGGTTGGGTGCATGCAAACCTCCGCTGCGTTTCAGCAGACGTGGGCTTCCCCGAAGTGAGGTCTCGGAACAAAACATCTCAAAATAAATCTGCAGATAGGGCACGGAGGCAGACGCATCGCCACCATGACCCTTCATGTACTGCTGGTAGTTGTTTGCAAACTTGTCCATGTACTTCTGGTAGTCGCCAGCGGAGGAACCACCCTGGGAGCCGCCTCCGCCCATGTACTTCTGGTAGTCGCCAGAGTACTGCTTCATGTACTTCTGGTAGTCGCCAGCAGAGGCACCACCCTTGGATCCACCCATGTACTTTGAGTAGTCGCTAGCAAACTGCTCCATGTACTTCTGGTAGTCACCAGCAGAGGCACCACCCTTGGATCCGCCCATGTACTTCTGGTAGTCGCCAGAGTACTGCTTCATGTACTTCTGGTAGTCACCAGCAGAGGCACCACCCTTGGATCCACCCATGTACTTTGAGTAGTCGCTAGCAAACTGCTCCATGTACTTCTGGTAATCACCAGCAGAGGCACCACCTTTGGATCCGCCCATGTACTTCTGGTAGTCGGCGGCATACTTGTCCATGAACTTTTGGTAGTCACCAGCGGAGGCACCACCCTTGGATCCACCCATGTACTGCTGATAGTCGGCGGCAAACTTGTCCATGTACTGCTGGAAGCCGCCAGCCTGTGCACTTTCCTCATGCTTGTCTGAGGAGGATTTCTCGTGCTTCTCATGCTTCTCATGCTTTGAATGCTTCTCATGCTTGTCGGAGGAGTGAGCATCTGCACTCAGCATCACGTACTTCTCGGAGTCGCCAGCAGAGGAACCACCCTGGGAGCCACCCATGTACTTCTGGTAGTCGCCAGAGTACTGCTTCATGTACTTCTGGTAGTCACCGCCCTGAGCGCCACCCTGGGATCCGCCTCCGCCCATGTACTTCTGGTAGTCGCCAGAGTACTGCTTCATGTACTTCTGGTAGTCACCGCCCTGAGCGCCACCCTGGGATCCGCCTCCGCCCATGTACTTCTGGTAGTCGCCAGAGTACTGCTTCATGTACTTCTGGTAGTCACCACCCTGAGCGCCACCCTGGGATCCGCCTCCGCCCATGTACTTCTGGTAGTCGCCAGAGTACTGCTTCATGTACTTCTGGTAGTCACCGCCCTGAGCGCCACCCTGGGATCCGCCTCCGCCCATGTACTTCTGGTAGTCGCCGGAGTACTGCTTCATGTACTTCTGGTAGTCGCCGCCCTGAGCGCCACCCTGGGATCCGGCTCCGCCCATGTACTTCTGGTAGTCGCCCGAGTACTGCTTCATGTACTTCTGGTAGTCGCCGCCCTGAGCGCCACCCTGGGATCCGCCTCCGCCCATGTACTTCTGGTAGTCGCCAGAGTACTTGCTCATGTACTGCTGGTAGTCGCCAGCCTGGGCAGTATCCGCCTTGGCCGGCTTGTCATCTCCCTTTTCGCTTGCCACGAGATTGGCGACCTCTTTGTCACTCTTCTGGGAGGTGGCGGATGACATGTACCTTGGCACCATGAAGCTTCAGGAACCCACGCTTACCTTGATGAGTGACAGATCCTTTAGACGCAATTGGACCAACGCAGTTCTCAAACCAAGGACCTGGGTGTTGGGGCTCGAGCCAGTTGTGTCACCTTTCTGTTGGTTGAAAGGAAAGAAACGAGGGATCACACATTTCTTTGGGGGTGCCGTTCCTCATTGGAGACAAACCTACCCAAATGGAGGGGTTTTCCCCGCAATCCCAATAGAACAAACCACATGCCTGGGCTCGGACAAGTCCTGGCAGAGTCCATGGGGCGCCCTTCACAAGCATCAGAAATCCCTTCTGGGTAGCCTCCAGTGTGTTGGCTTTTCAGAACATGTCCAAAGGGAAGTAGCCAGATTGGGGGTCCCACTTGCTGTGTGGATGGCCCAAAAAAAGTCAAAACTTTATATTCACCGCTGATATGGTCTTCCCAAAAAGTTTAAAGTTCGTGAACTCAGAAAGTGAAGGGTGCATTTCCTCATGAGACAAACCCAGCTGGAAATCGCGGTTCGGGCGCTGACTCGCATACTTGCCAGCGTAGTCCTCAGCAAGGCGATACGTGAGGTGAGGTGAAGAGGTGAGGTGAAAAGGTGCTGTGAGAACTATGTACTTGTCCCGGGCAATCGGGCGGCTCCCCTGATTGAGTAAGACTTGGGTCCCTCCATGTCCTCCCCTTTGTTAGTCACTCATAATGGGTGATTCTTCTTTCAGGGCATCCTTACCCACCCTAACATGGCACCTGCGGGGAGGTACCTGGAAGATCAGTTTCCTCTTGAAGGGACCCCACTTTCACGGAGGGTACCCGAAAAAAGGTTTCTCCTAAAACAGGAGGCAGTTCGTAGTTCGCCCGATTGGAGGGCCGTTTTTGACGGTGTTTAAGGGAACCAAGGGAAAACTATAGTTGTGTGTGGGGTCCCCGAAGAAGAAAAAAAAAGAAGCACACAGTTTTTTAACAAATGCCCACCGCAGGGACACATCTTCCAATTGTTTTAGGCCCGACAGGTGATTGTGTGAAGCCAAAGGAAGTTTCAGGCTGCTGTTTTAGAAGGGCTACACCAAGGTGGCAACTCAGAAACCCAAATTGTTCACTTTTTACCTTACCCCTAATTGGTGGTTTGGTTTGGTGGGGTGGTTTCCCTTTTACCCCCGACAAGAACCAAAAAGTCAAATACCCAAACCACCAAGCCAAACCATCACGGGTTCGGAAGGTTGACGCCGTTTGGATTCGAAGACGGGACCCCGGGATGACCCCTGAGGCCTTTGACCTCGGGGGAAAAAAAACAGCTCCGAGGAGTTTGAGCGCGCATCTTAGTTTCGCCCAGGGCTGTGGGGAATGACCACTTCTGTGATACAACAGCAAGGGCTTCCCAAAGACTATTTTCTTCATATAAAGGGAGATTCCCTTGTATCACAGAAGTGGGGAGAAACCCCTTGATCCCACAACCCTGGTTTCACCTGCAAAGTCATTCTTTGGCCCCTGAGCAATAAGATCTTGAGCCTGCTATCTTCGTCCAAAAACGCGGATGAGTCAAGCCGAAGGGACCGCTTGGCTCCTGACCATTCTGAAGGCTTTGAGTTCAGATCATGGCGGGCCAAGTTCCAGACCAACGTGCCTTGCCCACTGGAAGTTGCCCCCGCTTCGGCCTTCCAATGATCAGTTCTGCATCTTAGAGAAGGCGCCCTAGCAAAGGCGTCCTTTCAGGGGAAACAGAAGGGTTTCCCTGGTAGATGATTCAACCACCAGGTACACCAGGATTCGCCATCTATTTCTCTACCAAAACAGCCAAACAGGACACTTGCGCGCCCTAGTGACTTCGCAAGTGGTTGGCCTAGAACAAGTCTGACAGAAAGCTAAAGGTCCAGGAACTCGGATCTCGGGGAGCGAGAGTATGACCAGCCCACCCAGGATCTAAGTAGAACCCGTCCCATTAGGGGGGTGTTCCCTCCAAGAGTGGTCTGAATCCAACCACTAAAAGGAGTTGGACACCCCCCAATCAAAATCAAGCAGGGGTTCTGCTTAATCCGGGGTTAACAAATTAAACTGGGCTGTTCAAAATGGAGATTCGGTCGGCCAATCCTAATCCATAGTCCCCCAAAAGGGAAGCCACCACAAAGGGGACCGACTCCTTGTGTAACAGGTAAGGATTAAGGATTACCTTTGAACAGCCTAGTTAAAGTGGTCTGAATCCAACCACGAAAAGGGGACACCCCCCTACTAATCACCCCCAATCAAAAAAACAACCAGGGGTTCTGCTTAATCCGGGGGTTTTCCATTGAAGCCGAGCATCGTTCATGAAGTGCATATAGTCACCGCCGCCGCCGCCAGAGGAGCCCATGTACTTCTGGTAGTACCTCGGCACTAAGCCAACCAACCGGCAACCGCTACCCTGTCGCCTGGTATGCAAACTCAATGCAAACCCGTGACACAAAGGTAGCAACCATGGAACATAGGTGTCATTTTGCTAAAATTGAGTGATTTCCCTGGTAAATGAGTTATAAGACTAATCCAAGCCAGCGGAACCCATCCATTTCCATCCAAACCAATCGATCAAAAGTACACCTATGCCAGGGAAACTGACACAAAGAGAGATGAAAGGAAACCGTGTTCCTTGAGGGTTGGTCATCGTAGGGCGCGGAGCAACCTTGACCATGGATGTCAACGAACATGGAGTCGCGACTCCTCTGTGGGTGTTGTTTGTGTGGTCCATTTGTGTGTTTGATTATACAAACGAACGGACATGCTTTGCCCATGATATAGTGAAGAATCGGTGGATCGCCCGTTTGGTCGTTTGGCAGTTTAACTTTTTGTGGGTCCAATGGAACTCAGATGCCCAGCGGCCATGTGAATAAAAGACCCGGTATCCTCTTTTGGTTGGTTGAGCTCACCCCCCAAAAGAAAGGAAAAAGGGCACCACTGGGCAGAGGGATTTTGTCCACAGCTTCCAACCGAAATTTCAAGGATCCCAACCAAATAGCCATATTTTGACACACAGAGCGCCTTTCCCCATTTCCAAGTCCCAGGTGCTTCGAATAGTCTCCACCCCCGCCGCCGGACATGTACTTCTGGTAGTCCCCAGCATACTGGCTGACAAAGTCAGTACTGCCTCCTGGCAGGGATTGCAGCTTGGCTGTTGCCCCTGTTGAACTCATCGCCGGTTAATGGGTAACATGTCAACATATGTCTTAGTGTCCCATGTCATTCTATGTCAGTATTGGTAAATGGCAAATATGTCAACCACATGTTGACATGGTTAAGGTTCACCAAAAAGGTCCCGGTTCAAGGTTCAACCAACTAGCAGCCAATTAGTCACGCGCGTCCATATTTTAAAGGGTATCCCATTCTGGCGTGTTTCAAAACGAGGTGGTCGGACATGGCGACGTGATTTTTCCCACCATCACATTTCACCAGTTACTCCCCTGCAGATTGACCTCAACCGAATCGCCCTTTGGGAAGGAGACAGCTGTGGTTGCCATGCGCAACTTGCAGCGACGCGTCTTCTCTTATACTTGTCTATCCAAACTCATCATGCAACAGTGGGTGCCCTGTTGCCCCCTTTTGAACCCTGGTGCTCCCTTTTTTGCGCCTTTAGGGATGCGAAAGGGGGCTCCTATATTGGAACAAAAGGATTCCAAATGGCGCAAGCTATTCGACACCTTCTTCTTGTTGGGTCGGCGCCTCTTTTTTTGGACGAGAAAACCACTCACGTCTTGTTGAGTCACAGCCGATGTTAAAGTGGTCTAGCCATACCCCGTCGCAAAGAATGAAACGCGGGCTATGCTATCTGCACCTTTCTCTTCCTGAGTGAATTGGCCGGAGAAAGCGGCACCGTTTGCTTCCATTCGCGTCTTCGCCCCCTGGAAAAAAATATGGGAAAATATGTCCAGTGGTGATTGATTCCTTTTAAAACCAACAGGGGAAGAGAAAAAACATAATATTATTGAACTAATGGAATACCACAAATGGAAGCTTGTGTGTTTTCCGCAAAGCTGGTTCCATCAAGAACCTGGACCTCAGGGAGTGAGATCTGCTCATTGGGAATGTCCCACTCTTCATCTACCCGGAGAGTGGTTTTTTGGAGATATCGGAAGCTGCAAGACTAGGTCCTCCAGATTTGAGAGCTTAGAAGAAGTTGGTACCAACATTTTCTCAGTTTTGTCTATTTTAGTAGGGGAACCCTGCCCCAAAAAAAAAGATGAGAAAGGGCACTACTGGGGGACCTAGAAGCGATACAGGCATACGACTTTACGTGCCCACTGCTTCCAGCTACCACCATAGTAGGCGACCTGTTCTATTGATACCAGGTTTTACAGCTTCCCCTTCCTGCCTGCTATGAAGGAAGCTAGACGCTGGTGTGGGTCATGTCTACAAATTGGTGACTCCAAAGTGGGAATCCATTTCTCGGAGTGCGCAAGGCGAAACAACCACACGCCATGTTGGAATGTCTATGTGATCTGGTGCTTCCAGTTGCACTGTAGCAAGCAACCAGGAAAAGCCATCATGCAACACCTAAAGGAAACCGCCATGCCATGGTTTTTTGCCCGCAGTGCAAAAGGACGAACTTGTTGTTGATCACCGGGAATCACACTCACACGACATGTGTCCCATTTGGGTGTGTCAAACAAATGTACCCAATGGTAAATGGAACCAAGGACTAACACCTGCGACTTCATGGCTTAATTCTGACCCATACCCATTTGTTCAGGGTTCAACAAAATGCAACCAGTTTCAACAGGCGCTGCCAAGAAGCATGTCAATTGAAACGCTTTAGCTTCACTGCACCGAGGAAAAACATGGCTGTGGCTCAGAAAAAAACCGGTACCAAAATGGGTTGCCCTGGTAAGTGGAAACATGGACCAAAACTTGCGTAACCCCTCCTGTGTAATTTTGAGCCACACCCAAACAAATCCCACGTCCTTCGCCAGCAAGGGCCGCTGGCAGCAGCGCCACGAACGTGCGGAGGGCCATTCTAAGTTCTGCTAGGCCGCCGGCAACTTGACACACTCAGCTGGAGCCGAGTCAAAGGAAAAAAACGATCAAGCAAACCAAGCAATTTCAATCAAAAAAGCGGCCTTCCCAAGCAAACAAGGCAATTTCCATCCAAAAAACTACCTTTTCAAGCAAACCACGCAATTTCAATCCACCTGCGTGCGTCCAAACGCAAATGAGCTGCTCGCCCAAATATGCGCAACATGCAACACACACAACTGCCAGGTTTGCCCCACCAAAGAAATGGGGCAAAGACTGGCCGAAGCTACCGCAATGATCCCCCTGGCCGCCGCTGCCCTGAACCAAGGAATTAGCCCTCAGCCACAGGGTGACATAGGCTTGTCTCAAAATCTGAGAAACTGCTAAATCTGAGTTGCCCCTTAGGGACCCAGAAATAGGTGATCACACTTTGGGCTGCCACGGCTACAAACGGGTACCAAAATGGGAAAACCAAAAGGTGAGAAGGTCGATTCGCTTTGGGCAAGTGAGACATCGAGGGCAAAAATGATCAACCCCTACTTTAGGATGCCCAATTTTCGAGCATGACCATTGACGTGAAACCCTTGGTACCCCATTTCCGACCCATACCCAAATTGTTGATCTCCCGTCTTGTCCTTTGGAAAAGGGGACAAAAAGGGATCGATCCCCTTTTTGGAGCCATGGCACGGACACCTCGAGTTGCTCTGCAAATTGGGTCTGCCTGAGTCCAACCAAAAGAATAACGAAGCTCTTGGGGCCTCGACTCAGTAAATGAAGATGCAACAGGGATCCTTACATTATACACCTGAACATTGCCTTGTAAATGGTGGTTTCCTTTTATTTTGGTGGAAAAAGACATGTTTCAAATGGGCAAAATGTATCTCTTAAGAAGCCCTGTGCAACACTAGCAACAAAACGTTTGAAGGTCAAGCGGAGGAGCCTACGGATCCGTCCCCTCGGTGCTTCCCTCCGGTTTTCCCCGCCTTGCCCCGGACGCCCAAAGCCCACCAAACAGGCGGGGTCCTGCCAAGTGTGCGGGCGGCAAACAAAGCTTGTCTTTCCAAGCCTTATGGTAGAGCCACTACTAAACATGAACGGAACCAACAAAAAAACTGCACGCATGCCAACAATAGTGAAGTTGTTGACTCAGGAGTAAATCCAGGGTTCATGCATGTTTATTGGGGGACTGGCACGGTTTGTCTGATTCTTTTGGAGGAACTGATGACCTGACCACGTTGAGACAAATCTGGTGGCACAAATGCAGTACATGCAGACTGCTGCTAATATTATCTCCTCAAATGCCCAGTGGCCATGGGAAACAAAGGGCCCTTTTTTCTTGGGTGAGTCTTACGGGTCCCCCCTTTCCCATTAAAACAGTTGATAACACAAATTGGCACCACTGGGCAACTTTCTGAGTGGACACCGTACCAACAAGATCCATGAACTCGGCTATCCGTTTGAGCCGAAACCCTCTGCAGCCTTCCATTTGCTTCGTCGCCCCTGGACCAAAAAAGAAACACACGTTTCCAGTAGTGAATTCGATTCCGACTTTAAAACCAACAGAAGAAAACATACCTTAAATCCTCTTAGGCCTAGGCAAATGGAAGCATCTCATGTTGCAGTGGCTCAAACAAATGTACCAAAAGGGCACCAAAAGGTAAATGGAGCCAAAGACTAAAACCTGCGGTTTGCCCTAGCTCTTTAATTTTGAGCCACACCCATTTGGCTTTGGAACTCAGCTTCAACGAACTCATCGGCGGTGCGCCTGGCGAAGGCGAAACCGAGCCTATGGCACCCTTCCGAGGAAACGCGGTACCCGACTGATTTTGGGAACAGCGGGCAGGTCGGCACCGGTGGTTTGGGAGGTGTCTGCGTCTTTGGTTTGTTTTGGGTGGGAGGTCTTTGGTGGGGTTTCTGGTAGGTAGGGCTTTTGGGTAGTGAATTTCAAGAGTAACCCCTTCATGAATCAACCCCTTGGAGGGTCTACGCAGCAAGCGCTTAACCTTGATCGTCGGAGATTGCGTACAAATTCCAGTCTTTGATCGCCTGAAGCGCAGGCGAAACGCGGAAACGCAAACGGTTGTCGGCAACCGTTTGCTATAAAGGAACGATAGGCTGGCTTTTGCCCTGTACATCTGGCCCTGCTTTCCAAAGCCGAAAGGCAGGAGATGAGGCAGCTGCAAAATTAAGTGCTCACAGCTGTTCACTGGCAAACTTCTTTAACGTTGAACTTGTTCTGAGGGTGCCATGCCATCCCCTCAACAGAACTCTTGGAAAGCAGTTCGATCCAACGTGCTTGACTGGTGGTCAAGCGAAGCGGCGACTCAGAAAGGGAATGGAAATCGCATCTCCCCGATCTCACCGCTTCAAAACCGCAACTGCCGAGAGCTCGGGCACTATACAAACCACCCGAGTGCCACCGGCGATTACTTCAAAGTCTGACGTGTCCAGGTCTGAAAGCCATTCTGACCCTTGCTCGATCCGTGGCCGATGAAATTCCGTGACACGCCCACGCACCAACAAAACACTCTTGCTCGACCCGCAGCACATCTCACTCACTTCCTGAGTGATTTGGCACCAGCAAGTCCGAACCTTGCCTTTATTTTTTTCCGAAATGCTTTGCCCAAATCGTATAAAAAGTCCGAAACGGAACTCAGGGAGTGAACAACAGACTTGCTCGACCCACATCTAAACTTTGGCTTCAGGCCGCGCTTGCGCCGCGCGCGCAAGCCCGCGCCTCACTGACCCCAATTCTACTCGGTGCGCTGCCTGGCGCGTCAGCTTCATATCCCTTCACAAGTCCCTAGGAGCCCCTTGGACCCTGCGGATGGACAAAATCCGTAAACCGCACCACTTGGAAACCATGGTTGAAATCATTCTTTGGTATTTCCAAGGGAATCATCCCAAACCAGGGTCTCTGAACGGTGCTGCGAAATGGACTTTGTTCATCCACAGGAGCTTCTTGGACCATATGAGGGCCTTAAGGACACCAGACACCTTAAATGATGTCTTGGGCCCTCAGTTGACATTGAAACCTTTGACCACTAAAAGCGCTTCGCATCTGGGGAGGATCCTGCAACTATTTCGGTCAAAACAAACACAGTCCTTTTCGAACAGTTGAAAGCTTGATATGAGCCAAACTTTTCATTCAGCGGGTAACCAGGATTACCTCTTTTTACATGCCTTCCCTCCAGCTACTGTAGGTGTCACTCGATCCAGTTAAACCAAGCAAGACTTGGCGCCCAAGGTCTTGACAATTGCATGGCGAAAACTTTGAGTCTGCCAACGCCGGCACGCACTTCCTGATTCATGGCAAAGCTGGGAGAAAAAAAAAGAGGAACAACTCCCAGGCAGTTTCATGGACCCTTCCAAGGGCCTGGTTTCTGAGCATGACACACGGGTTTTCCCAGTTGCTTGGAGGTGCGAAGGCCCGCAGCGCCCCGCGACTCCCGAGACCCCCGCGACCCGCGCCTCTTGGGCCCCGCGGTGATGCGGAAGTCCCAGTCGTCCAAGCCGTTGCGCGCAGCGCGGTCCACGCTGACCTCCCCACCCAGCGGCGGATTTTTTTGCGTCCGACCGAGCGGGTTGGGACGGCCCTATCTCAACTCCGCGCTGGACGGCTTGTTTTCTTCTTTTATTCTCGCGTCCGAGCGAGCGGGTTGGGACCAAACAAACCTTGCGCCCCGCGGCGCTCTCTCAACTCGGAAGGAGTTCAGTGGATTGGCCAAAGAAACGGAAACACGCTTGTTATTTGCCACTAGAATGGTCACCCCTCAAATGCCCAGTGGATTTCCATCGGAAAAAAGGATCGGCATCCCTTGGTTGGCTGACTTTCAAGGGACACCTTTCCCCCAAAAAACAAGTCGCAAAAAAGAATTGGCACAATCCACAGGGCAACTGGGTAGGGCCAGCTTCTGTCTTCCATCTTCCATCATGTCATAGCCTCTTCTGTTTGAGAGCACCCTTTTTTGGGCTAATTGCAGCCAGAAAATATGGGGAAAAAAACACCATGCCTTTTGGTGATCCAGCCATTCTTGGTGGACAACATTACTAGGTCCTCCAGTAGAGAGGTTAGAATAAGGGTACCAACTCTTTTTTTCTTTCCGTGGTTTATTTTAGTAGGGGATTCCTCTCAACCAAAAAAGGGGTGAGAAACGACACCTAGCTGGCAGACCTAGATTCTGATTTCCGAGCCCCAGGAGACGAGTGCTCATCGGATCTTCGCCGACTTTCGTGCGCAAGTTTGGGTTCCGTGCCTCCAAAAGGAAGGTGCTCTCTCACAATTTCCGTGTCACCACTGTCAGAGGATTGCGAAAGGTGTTTTGAGGGTACAACCACAATTTGAGGCGGATAAAACTAAACTTCACAGCGACACTTCATTGACCGGCGCAAAACATGTCGAAGTTGCCAGCGGCAGTGGACCACTAGGGCAACAGTGGAAGGACAAATGATCACCACTTGTTGTGCCATAATGCCATAAGAAGGCATGACTTGATTCAGATTAGACACCAACACTGAGAAACTCAGGCAAACCTGCGGATTAGCTTACCGCCTGACCCGACGACCCCTTTTTTGGAGCCCGGACGGCGCTGCCGGGTGGAAGACGATCTTCAAGGATCCTCGGGCGAGTGAACTCGAATTGCTTCACCAAAAACAACTCCCCCAAAAGAAGGGTGTGGGTCAAAAATAGGTACCCCAAATATATCTCTGGTAAATGGAAACATGGACTAAAACCCCCGGTGGTTTAATTTTGACCCATCCCCAGAAGGCCAGACACTGTCGGTCTGCGAAATGGTGCCTGGCAATCCGAAAGGCAACCCGAAAAGGAGCAGCTCCTTTCCGGATTGCATGCATCATTTTGTGCTCAACTGATAGGTCCTTTTGACACAACCATTGGGGTCCAGGTTCCGTAGGCGATTCACTTTGGGCAACTGAGCAAACACATGTCAATCAGACATCAGCAAATAACAAGCTATCCTATACATTAGCAGCTCGAAATGCCCGCCTCGCCTCAACAAAAACTCAGAGTTCTGGGGGGCGGGAGGAATGTGCAGGCACCTTATCGGGTTTAAGGTTACACTCCACCAAACATAATTTTATTTGGTCCCTAATATCCTACGGGACCTTAAGCGCGGCAAGAGCCAAAAGGATTCTCGCCATTCCATACCCTCCCCTAGCAAAAAGAAATACACTTGCTAGTGCGATAAGTAGGGAATGCGGGAATGAACCTAGGGATTCCCTCAAAGGAAACCACCAGTTGGATGGTTTTTCTGGGGGTCATTCCATTTCTCATTCCCTGCCTAAGAAAAAAAACAAACTTGAGTGGGCGGATTTCGTTCCATGGGTTAGCCTGGGTGCAGAAGTCTGGGTGAAATTTCTTGAGTTCATTCAATGGGTTCTAACCAAAGGGCTCATGTGGATGGCTCCTCTCGGATGTCCGAGGACAGATGTTACGCACATGATTGTCCTTTGGTGCAAGCTGGAACCTGTCTGTTAGACCCCCCGCACGGAACCGAAGCAAAAAACAAACCAGGGGTCCTGGGATCCCAAACCCCTCGGGTGTGTGCCTTGTTGAGGGCAATTACGTAACGGAAGACCGAAAGGAACACAATGATCCATCCGAGGCGCATGGTGCTAAGCCTCGTCACCAGGTGCCGTTCCAGGAATCGCTTCAGGGGCCGAGCGCCCAGCTCTGGGTCGAAGGCCTCCTGTGGCATGGCCAAAACTCCGTTGGGTGTGTATCCTTTTTGGAGGCTACCATTTTCACCAGGTCTACTGAGGGCATGTGGCTATGGGTCAAACATTCGTAGGGAACCAAGTTTTGAGGGACCTCTCCTTTGGGGAAGGGAACCCAAGACTAAGCCACCAAAACTCAACGAATATTGAGTAGTTGTTATGGAGAAGGCGTCATTGTTGCGAGTCGTTGAGACTTGACACACATGTCAATAGTGGCTCGAGTCCACCCTGGTCCGTCTCTGTTCCGAATCATTCAAGTCAGGCTCTTTGCGCAGATCTCTTGCAAAAAGTGTTTGACTTGTGAACTCAACCGCTAAACCAACCAAGAAGCGGAAAAAAAAGGAACCGGATGGCTGACAACCACCCAGTTTGCATGGGTGTCCCTTGGCATGGCGAACAACACTTTGCTGAGCCAAACATACCCAGAGTGCCATGTCTTCGACCCGGGCCAACTACCAAGCATCTTTCTTGGCCATGGCGGGTGGATGCCATGCCGCCATGCTCTCAAACTGAGCAAACGACTGACTCTGTTGTGTCCCCTGCGAAAAAAGAAAAAACAGAAAAAAAGAGCAGAACCAAAAAGCCTTAAACTTAAAGTGTGCCAACAACAGGGAAGAAGCTACAAGGTTATAACCATGGTTCTCAGGGGACGATCCGGTTATAGCCTACTTACCTGACATTGGTTGAACATCCAAAAATCAACTTTGCCCAACCTTGCGGACAAGTCATGCAATCATCGTCGTCCCTTTGCTCAAAGGAGATGTCCCTTTGACACCAGGTACAAGTAAAATGGACGTCTTCACCGCGAGCATCCGCTTGTTGAATACCTATGGAAATCTTTGGTAAACAAACAACGGCTCCTATTTGGTTTTGCCACATACTATAGGCCTATTCAGCAATCAATCGTCTGAAGAACACGTAAGCAAACGGTCTTAGCCTTGAGGACATAGTCCACGGCTGTGTCTGTGACGTGCATGGAAACCTGCCAACGGAGAGCACTGGTCCCGGAAGTGGACGGACAAAATCAGGGTTTCATGGGGGCTTGGGGGGAGGGAGGGGAGGGAGGGGAGGAGGGACCCTTTAAGCCCCTATTAAGCCCTTAATAAAGCCTGAATTGGGGCTTATGTGGGCTTCCTCCCCCTCCCCTCCCTCCCCCCAGCCCCCATGAGGGCTGCGCAACGTGTGTAAACACAAACCGAAAGCAGGTGAGTGAAGGCTTAACTTGCTTCACTTTTCTGGGCCCGTTTTCGGATCGAAAGTGACTAACTTTCAGTGGGTTCAATGGCTGAGGAACCGGATGGCAGGGAGACCACCAAGTGTTGGTTGCCTCCACATGCACGCCTCGGCTGATGAAGGAGCCAAAGGTTCCCATTGAGAACTCAAGAAAATTGCAAACACAACAAAATAATGTCGGGGGCCGTGCAAGGAACATACACCCGGAGTATCACCATCAGAAAGCACCCAAATACAACCTGGGGTACCAGGCGTCTTGGTTGTGGACCTACTGTTCGTTGCGCAGGTGGTTTGTCCAAGTCTCCACAGCTTTCGTGGGATTTCGGACATGGGCACTCCCGCGCTTGCCTCCAACTCATCCAACCTCGCCAGCACATCGGCAAGTTGAAGCCGCACTACCTGCCGCATGGGCGGAGAGACTCAGAGAGGGTGGCGGTTCTCCGCCAATTTCCTGAGAGGCTTGGGCAGTCCGAACTTTTTTACCACCAAACTGGTCCTCCCCAAAACATATGTCAGGTCCAGGGAACTCAGAGTCAAGTCCAGGAAACTCAGAGTCTGCGTTTCTACGAGGGTGTAAGCCAACAAGTCCAAGGCAGCAAGCCTGCTCCGGCCCTTGTCCCCCTTGTGAGCTCTCTTGATCCAAGGCTGCAAGAATAGATTGTTCGACCCGGACCCCCCCCCAAACACAAAGGCAACACTTAGCAGCGTCGAGGAGTGACAAAACCTATGCGAGGCTCAGCACCTTCCCATGAAGTGCTGACAGAATCCATTCAGAGCCCCAGACTCCCTTGCGAAGATTCTTACTTTGAGCTTCACAAAACACCCCCCGAACATTCGCTGCCAAAGGGGCATGCATTTTTCTTTGTCATCTGTTGTTGCCGCACAATTCTGCCAGGGGGTGTCCTCCAGGGGGGAAACAGGCCACAGCCGCCTGTTGGAGGACCTCTCGGCTGAGGGGATGGAAGACCACGATGTCATCCAGGCGGTTCAGAAGCTCGGGCCTAAGGGAACGTCCTTTTAGGCAGGGTTCCACTTTTTGACTATCCCAAAATAGACCTACATCCAGCAGTTCCCCTTTTGGGGGGCCTAAAGGAAGGTCTTTTACGCAGGTTCCACTTTTTGACCATCCCAAGATAGAATTAGAAAACTGAGAAAACCAGCTGGTTTCCCTTGTGAGAACCAGGGTGGAAAGGAGCCGAGCCAGGGGTTCCCCTCTTGGAGCGATGAAGCGGCGTGGATTCCCCAGCCGGGTTTGGGATCCCAAAACACGCGCCGAGCCTCTGGATCGGCTGACTAGGCTCCATGCGGCTAAAGGATCCCAAAGAGAATGGAAGTCCAAAACGGGGGGTTGAACAAGGAACCCTGGAGTTGTTTGAGCCCCAGTGGCCAAAAAGCCAAGGGCCACAACGAAACATCTGGAAATAGGATACAGTGATATTGATCCCAAGATAAGTGTCATCATGGTGAGCTTGTTTTAGCTCCCGGGTGAGCTCGCCATAGTGCATATATATATATATGTTGACAAGCCAAATGAAGACCGCAATATTATTACCCCAGCAGCCAAATGAAGACCACACTATTATTACCCCAGCAATACTAACTCTGATGGCTGAAGGCGAATCAAGCCAAACAAACAAAGCACACACACACACACAACACGGAGGGGCCCGACGACCAAACCAAAACACAAAGAAACAAGAAAGAAGCCAGTCATAAACTCAGATGCCCAGTGGCCATGGGAAAAAAGGGCATCCTTCTTTGGTTGGTTGACTGTATAGGGACACCCTTCCCAGGAAAAAAGGGGAACAGGGCACCACTGGGCAACTGGGTAAACGCGAAGAAAGCAATCATCTCGCGCTTCTGTGGCGGCTGGGTGCATTGACATTCGAGAAATTGGCATGTCTTTTTTGAGAGTATCCTGTTTGCGCTGGATTTTTCTAGGCAAACCACCCGGAAAACCGACAACAAATTTGAGGGTCCCCTATTTCGAGAAGACTCAGGAAGCTGCCATTAAATTTCTACGTCTCGTCATGAGGAGTGGCTCCTGTTTTCTCGGTTGCTTGATGTGCCCAAATGTGCCCCAGGTTTTGGCCCGAACGTCGAGATAGCAGATCCAGTTTGGGTGAGATTGCTATCGCCCATAAACCCTGAGAGATGTTGAACAAACGTCCCGGTGTTGCCCAGCGTAGAAACTGGGAACCTTCTTGTCAGAAACTCCCCAAATAAAAAGGGGGTGGCATTGAATAACGAATAATTGGGGCCCCCACATTCGGGCAGCGGGGGGGTCAAATAGCTCAAACGGGTGTGTCTGGTGTGTCTTTTTGTCAAGGGCAGGTGAGATGTTGAAGATATTCCCATTTGGAGACACACCCAAATTGGACCTGCACTGGCTTTCTCGCCTCAGCGTAGAGCGGATCGCCTGAAGGACTTTGCCCTTCGCCTTCTCCATCTCAGTGATCCTCATCGAAGCTACAACCGATGGCGCCGCAAGCGCTTGCAACGAAGAATCACCTTTGGGTTACCACACATAGATCTAACCGAAGGATTGTTTGTTGAGGTTTCCAAAAGTAGATCGACACCAAAACGAAAGCAGAAACAGGTCGAAAGGCGTTGGGCACTTTGGTGTGTCCAAGGGCAACTCGGTACTGTACCGGATGTGCCCCATACTGCCTACGAGGCATAGACTTTGGCTCTCAAGGACTCGGAGAAATCCTCGCAAACCTCGAGAAACCTCCTGAATCAACTGGCAAGAAGAAAAGTCAAAGGACTCTCTTGAAGTGAGAGCCCTGGGCATACAACTCCCAACTGAAATTCAGGGATGGGACCTTCATGGCTCCAAATCGCTTGTCCCACATTGACCGCGGCTCAAAACGAAAAATAATAATAGGGTTACGCAGGCCTTGATCTTCGTTTCCATTTGCCAAGGTGCCTTTCTTCCAGTAGAGAGGTTAGAATAAGGGTACCAACTTTTTTCTGTAGTCTATTTTAGTGGGTGAACCGAATCTCCCAACCAAAAAAGGGGGTGAAAGAGCGGGCACCACTGGGGGACCTAGTTGGGATTTCCTTTTCCTGAGCCACGCCCCGAAGCGACTCCTCTGCGCCAAAGGGGCGATCTCAGGCGCATGAGGTGCTCGGAGCCCAGGTTGGAGGTCATAATCACCACGCAGTTGCTGCAGTCCACCGTCCTTCCGCCGGCGAAAAAGAAACCACCTGGAAACCCAAGAAACCCCGCCTCGAAACCCATGAGACGGTCTTTTTTGTTTCTCTCCATACGGCTTGGGCCACAAAACAATGACCAATACGTTGCTTTTTTTTCTGTCCACACGGCTGGAAGGCCACACATAATGGCCATACGGGGTCGTTTGCGGCTTTTTGGGGTTGCAATAAAACACGGCCGGTGGTGATTTGGACAACTCGATGTGGGGACCCGACTTTTTCGTTTGGGACCCTTTTAATGAAAAAGATCTTGGGCCCCCTTTGTTTCCCTTTGAACATCTGTGAACCAACCCTTAGAAGGGGAAAAGCAACAAAAACAGAACGGGTTTCCCAGTAAACTTCAACCTTCCCCATACTTGCAACCCAGTTTGAACCAGGCAGGAACAAAAAACAGAACCGGATGTCGTGTGTTCCGAACCCAAACAAAAAAGGGATTTGGAGGGGTAGCACAAAAGCTCAGTCGCCCCTGAGGAACCCAGAGCTAAAAGGTGATCGCCTTTGGGGATGCCAAACAAATGGGAACCCAAAAAAAGGGTAAAGCCAAACGGGCAGATCCGGCCGATTCGTGTTGAGTGGCAAAGGGCACTGGGAAGTAGCGAGCACCGCAAAAAGGCCAACGGGCGGCCTATTTGTTCCTGTCCTCTAAAAGCGGGTCAGAAAGCCCTGGCTGATTTTCAAGCGGGCTGTTTTCAGATCTACAGTCGAAGTTTGCTCAGCGCTTTAGACATTACCGTAAAACTCGAACAACCTGCAACCTACGGGGATGGCTCGCAACCACAGAGTAATGGGAACACCCCGCAAAAAGCACAACAAAGAAACAATCAGGGTCAACCGCCAAGATAGACCGAAACACAAGGGCGGATTTCTCTAAAAGCGGGGCCTCTTGCTTCGATTCTACCTCTGCAATCCGGACATGGGCGCCCACTACGCTGTCTCTATAAACAGGGCCGGCTTCCCTTGGGCGTCCTCTTGAAACAGCTTTGGCTGTTCCAAACCAGTGTGCATTCCGTAGATGCGGGGGTGTCTCTAAATCAGTGTGATTTGCCCCCCAAGAAGGACACGTCCAAAGTTTGTATGAGGGGTCCTGCACTGCCGATACCATATGCCCCGTTCTTGCGCTCCCTCTCATCCAGGGAGCGTTCCAAGCTTGCATACATTTCAAGTCTTGTTTTTGGGAAAATGCCCTTTAATCTCCAAACCACCCACCCCCACCACCAGCTGGGAAGCTGAACATGTGGTTTGCCCGGACGATGAATGGTCTTGGGAAGCCCCTTTCTGTGAGACCAAAGTGGGATTCACATTCCCACCCCTACACAAATCAATACACCACGATTTGAGTGTGTCTTTTCATGAGGATACCCGTTTTGGAGTGGCTTCAAAGGGAAACCAGACGGAAACTCACCATGATTGGGAGGTCCCTTATGATAAGAAAAGCCCATGGCTCTCCTGCCATGGGAATCGGTGATGCGGCCATCATCCAACAGCTGCAAGAGCACGTTCAGCACGTTGGGATGAGCCTTCCTGGGGTTTGGCAAGAAGGGGTGTGCCTTTTGCGGCTGGCCCCTTGTTTTGGAGGTGTGAACGGGAAACTGCAAGGAAAGCCGTGGCTTCCCTTTGGTTTCCCTTGGTTACGGTTTCCCTTGGTTTGCCCTAGTTTCCCTTGGTTTCCCTTCGTTTCGCTTCGTTTTCGCTTTTTTGGGGTGTTAAAGGGAAACCGAAAGGAACGCCGCCATGTTGGGCTTTGATGCGCCCAAAGCCCAGAAAAGCCGTCTAAACGTGCGCCACAGAACTGTCAGGTTTTTCATAGGATCCCCCGAACTCTCCGGGTTCCTAAGGCTCATTGCAGTCTCAAAGAAACTATCCGAGAAAATCGGACCAGCTGGAAGGAGTGGCCGGAAACTAGCCGGATATGGTCACTTGCTCAGACCTGGGGTCTGCACAAGGGGATTTATTCGAACGCCCTCTCTTGAGGGTTTCAATCCGTTGAAACATCCAGAAATATAGGGGTATGGAGGCGGTGGTATGGAGTAGCGCTATCTTACTTAACCGAACCATCAAAGTTGGGGCGGTTCAAATCCCCAAATAAGGCCCAAATAAGCCCTAAATAAGGCCTTTTTAATGGCTTATTTGGGCTCTCTCCCCCCCAGCCCCCGTGAAGCAGTATTGTCATATCGAGTTGCTTCGGGTACTAGCTTGGAGCCTCTTGACACATCCTGCTTCTGGTCGAGCCTCCGACCGAGAGGTCCTGATTTCAAAAAACGAGGGATGCCTCATTCACAAGGGAGTGTTTTTGCATCCAACATGATCGCACATGTTACAAAAAAAAAAAAACAGTCGAACGTGCAACTTTCAAACAACCCTCCAGTATCATGCCTGGACTCTCCACGAGCCCCAGTAAACAAGAATACGGAAACCCAACAGTAAGGCGCACAACCCCATTTGAGTCGTGATAAACGCCCAGTACTAGGATGGTCTGGCCAAAACCATGTAAGGAATCTAAATTGGGCAGAGATCCGCACTTATTTCGCTTCTTACCTTCCAACTACCCGGGCTTGAGGTGACTCAATTGCTGGTCTTGGAGACCCGATCCCAAAACCTCCATGAAAACACCGGGCACCTCGGAAGCGGGGCTCGCTGCATTTCCCCTTCACTGGCAATTTGCCGGTGGTTCCCATCGAGACCGCCACTTTGAAGGTGCAAACGGGAAATGGGGCTTGGCCGATTGGGTCATGGTTATCCCTAGTTGTGGTTAAGGCTCCTTAGGACCATCCACCTAAGACCAAGAGAATGAGCTTGTCTTTTGGCCACACAGGTGTGCGAGGTGGAAACCTTTTCAGGTGCGGCCACGGAGTTTTGCCATAGAACCCATCAAGGAGTCTTGGGGAAGGGACCATGTGGGTTCCATGTTAGACAGGAGGGTAGCTTTCAAGGTTTTCAACAAAGGCCGAAGAGCCAAGTCGTCAAACCATCTTCAACCAAATTTGAGACCGTATCTGAAGGAACGGAAGCTGTACAGATCTAATTCATGGTGTGGACAGGAACTTAGCTTGCAACCCCAACCTCAAGTCATGGGCTCAGAAAGACAAAGCCGAGGGTCTCCATCTCGTCAAAAAGCACCACGCTGTATGGGTGGCGCCTCAAGGCCTCACAAGGCCCCGGTCTCGTACTCCGATCGGTGGCTCCCAAATTGGCTCCCTGCTTTTACTTGCTTGCTGTTAACCCCCCTGCACAAAGTTTAACTTTTTTTGGGGTTTAGCGGAAAACATCGTTGTTTCCCAAAAAGTTAAAGTCTAAAGATCCAACCTAATAGCAGTCAAGTCTATTGCCAAACTGTTTGGAGATCAGCCAGGGTTCCACTTGAAAGACTCAAGCCCAGGGGGTTCATTCCCTCAACTTTTTGACTACCCTGTAGACTTAAACCCAGCGGCTAAAATTCCCTCAAAAGAACCCCTGGCTTGGCTCCCTTAGCTTCTCACAGAAGCACCTGGTCTTCTCGGCTCAAAAGACCGGAAGAAGCAGTTGATACATTGGCCACCGCTCAGGTGAATAGGCCATAGGCCACACCAAATTCAGGGCAATTATACCGACTCACAATGCCAAAAGGATCTATGTTTTAAGGCTAACCTCGGGCCATAGAGTTTAAACAACCAGACCTGATTCGATTTGCCCCCGAAGCCAAATTGATAACTGGGCAAGCGGGCAAGTGGACATAACGATTCCGGAAGTCGAGCATCTTCATGACGGTTGAAATCCCTAAGCGATGATATCGCTCGGCTTTGTGGTTTAACAATTGGTGTGTTACACCGTTGTTTAAACCAATATGGTCTTACTCCCCAACAAATTAACGCGAAACCCAACAAGCCCACCCAATTCTAGGATCGAAAAAACTCCTTTTGGAATGTTGGGTTCCCCTGAAAAAAACATGTAGGGTGGATTTTGGCTCTTCATCGCCCAAACCGTTTGGTTCACTTCCCTTTCGCCACGTGGGTATGGGTCAAAATTAAAGCACCAGGAATTGGACCGAAGGTTTTAGTCCTTGGTTCCATTTACCAGGGTTCCAAAATGGATACCCTCCCTCCCACTAACATGGCACCTGACAGAGGTCAAGGAAACTCATCTTCCTGGTACCCTCCCCACAAATGCCATGCTAGTGGGAGGAAGGGTACCGTTTTTTGACCCACAGCCAAATGGGCGTGAGAAGGAAATGCACTCCTCAAGAGCCAGAAGTGAGGCACACAAGCCAGCCAAAACGTTTGGCCAGGCCAGCCAAGACAGCCACGTCTTTTCTTTTGGGAAACTCCTTTCGCGTCGCCTCCGTAAGCTGGCCGCCCTGCTCGTGGCCGATGTAGCCGGGGGGGGCGCCGAGGAGGCGGCTCACGGCGTGCTGCTCCATGTACTCCGACATGTCCTCGGTCCCAAAACACGAGGGGTCCGGGACCCTTGTTTTTCCCCAACAGCTGAAGGTTATGGGAACAAAAACCATCTGCTGGATTGCAATTTGTGTAAGAATTTATATTTTTCTTCCCCAACAGCTGATTTTTTTAGGGTCTCAGCCCAGATAGGCTTCGGGGTGGTCGGTTTGGGGAGGGTTCCACCAAGGTTCCACCGGTGGTGCGCGCACTACAAAGAGCACTGCATGCTGTTGGGGATATCACCTGAGCTTATTTTCTTCGGACGCCCCGTATGGTCTACCACACAGGGGACATCCGAAAAACATGTCTGGCTGGCTTTCCATTTTTAGAGGTCCCAAAGGGTGATCACTTTGGATTCCTGATTGCCCAAGAGGAGCGGACACGAGGGGTCCGGGACCCCTGGTTTGTTTTGCTTCGGTTCCGTGCGGGGCGTCTAACAAACAGGTTCCAGCTTGCACCAAAGGACAATCATGTCCTCGGACATCCGAGAGGAACTCAAGAAATTTCACCCAGACTTCTGCACCCAGCCTCAGGCTAACCCATGGAACGAGGTCTGCCCACTCAAGCTGCTTGTTTGCTTGCTGGTGTGATAGGTAAGGAATGAGGAATGGAATGACCCCGAAAAAAAGCATTCCCGTTTTGGCTTCCTCTAAGGGAATAAGTTGATTCCCTCATTCCCTGCTGAGCACCAGCAAGAAATGATTTCGAGGAGGAGGAAGGAGTGTCTCACTCACACGCTCGAGTGGATTGGCTAAAGAGTCTCCGAACTGTTTGTTTACACACCAACATGGTCTTCCAGGAACCCAGGCAGTGTCAATGTTCATTTTTGGATTGGAAGGAGTAAGACCAGCTTTAGGGGTGCCATCTGTTAGATACGACACATGCACATGCTAAGCGTGGTTTCTAACCCCGACGGAGCAAGCATCACTGGGGCCGCTCATGACACCTCGAGCTGTTCCCCCAAAGGTCGTACCGAATTCCCGGAACATACCCCTTAAGGATAAGACAAAAGGGTTTGACTCACAATCAAAACACGGTATTATTCTGGTCTACCCAGAACCGAAAAGGCGGTCTACCCAGAACCTAAAAACCTCAACACCTTGCCAACCAAAGCGCCCGGATCCTTCCGAAACACTCCGACCGAGGCTCGAAGCGGATCATCTTGGTCTCGCTGTCGAACAGCTCCGACGCAAGGGCCTTCGGCGGTAACGGGGGGCTGGGCGGTAACGGGGGGCGCTAAGCCCAGCATAACCCCAAGCACCACAAAAACCAACAAACACGCAAACCACATGCACCACCAACACACAAACACACCGCAACACACGCACATACACACACACACAACTCAAGATCAAAGTAGCGACAACAACGACACACCAAACAGACCACCAATGAAACTAACGTGCGCCCAATACTCAAAGTTTGAGAATCTGGGGCCAAAACCCAGACTAAACAATTGTTCTAACAAATGTTTGAACAACGTGGCCCAAGTGATTGTTAAATAACTGTGCGTTTCATTTTAATAGATACCCAAAGTGTTCTTTTTTAATATACCAAACACAAACCATGTCGTTCTCTTCTTTTGTTTTCTCTTGTACTACAAACCCAAATAACACAAATGTTTGCTTTGTTGTTCCACACAAACACACGTCAGCCATCTGTTGTGGGTCTCCTTCTGATCCTTTGAATGGTTGGTCATGACCCGAATCTTTCTTTTGGGTTGCCTGACCAACCAGGTAGATCACCAGTCCTCCAGTAGAGAGGTTCGAATAAGGGTGCCCTTTTTTCTGTAGTCTATTTTAGTAGGGGAACCCTCCCCCAAATAAAGGTAAAAGGGCACCACTGGGGGACCTGGCAAGGGTCAGATTGGGAAACTCCAGGTAGACCAATCATTCCTTCCATGTGGTTAAGACCACGGGAAAAAACCAGTAGTGACAAAATCATTTTATAACCAACAGGGGATTTTTGGAGAAAAAAACATGAACAAATGGAAGCCCAGGTAGATGAGTCATTCCCAAACCCCCTACTAATCTGGGCTGCCCTGGGATCCCCCGCTAAAAGTTTAACTTTTAGTGACCTCCATGCTGCCCGGTTAGCTTGCCGGCCTGTCCATATGCAGGCGAACAAGAAGCCGGTTTGGCCTCTGAATTGAGTGCAGCTCTGCCCAAGTGCTATTCACATTCACGAGAGTTCAGAACATTAGGACCCACCCGAAACAGGGACACGAGACTTGCGGCACATTCCCACATGTGCAACCCGCACCTGTTGGCATTGCACAGCAATCCCCTAGATGTGTATATGCCATCTTCTGGCCGTATGTCCATTTTCCGCCGCGGTAATTTCAAGGGCTTGGACAAGTTGGCAGCATTTCCGAATGTGTTGAGGTAGGCTAAATGGAAAACGCCACTAAACACTAAAAGGCTAAAAGGCTAAGGAACCGGATGGCTGGGAGCCACCAAGTAATCATTCCCATTTCCTTTTGGTCAACCGCTTTTTGCAGCGCTGGCCTTCGCGAGCTCCGTCTTCCCGACCCCGGTGGGGCCCGCGAAGAGGAAGGAGCCTGGCTTCGGAGGCTTCGCTTTGACCCCAGCGATCGCGGGCCTTCCTTGGCGTTCCTTGAAAACCACCAAACATGAGCTTTCCTCCACTAGGTCCAGATTTGAGAGCTTAGATTTTCGGGTACCAACTTGTTTCTGTCTATTTTAGTAGGGGAACCCTCCCAAAAAAGAAAGGGAAAAAGGGCACTACTGGGGGACCTAGTCCAAGAAAGGACACACTTTTGGGGGGCGTATTCTTGTTTATCTTTGTGGTTTTAAGGGAACTGCCAGTGAAAACCACCAAATGGGGATTGTATTTGTTGTGTTTCTTTGTTTTGAAGGGAAACGAGACGGAACACCGCCATCTTTGGGTTTTAAAGGGAACCCACATGGGTGTGGGGGTATGTGGAGGGGGTCGTGCGTTTTGTCCTTCTGGTTTCCCTTTAAAACCAAAATGGAATTTGCTTTTCCTCTTGGTTTCCCGTTGCTCACCTAACTGATCCATTCTGGGGGGTTTCTGTTTTGGCTTCCCTTTGAATTCCAACCAACCAGGGCTCCCCCCCTCTGCCAAACACACAGACTAAACCCATTCAACTGATTCTGGCACCGGCCGGGCGACCCTCGCTTCGAACCGATTTCCCCCCCCCCCTTGGTTGACGTTGGAAGGGGAGCAACAAAAAGAATAGCAGCTAAGTGGGGATTTCAACCACTAAACCACAACAAGCAAAACTGTACCACATGTTTCCCAACAACAACCACCCCTCCCCCCCCCTCCCCCCGGCGTCGCGAGCCGCGCGCCATGCGCGCCGCGCGCGAGTGGCCTGTCGGCTGGTTCCTGCGCGACAGCTTGGCGGCGCTGCGAAGAATGGCCCGCGCCACCGCCGCGGAGGCCTCCTCCTGCGGAAAAGGTTCGAGGGGTTCGAGGCGCGGCTCAAAACCCGAAGTCGGTGGCTACAAGTTCTGGTGGGTGTGAGTGTCTGTGGCGGTTTTAGACCTAGCTTTCTGGTGGTTTTCTATTTTGTTGTTGTTATGTTGATTGTTTTAAGTGTTTTTATGCCTACATGGTGGCCTTATAGAGGGATTATGGTGGCTTTCTGGTCGTTGTCGACAAGGGAACGGCTTCGACGTACTGCGGCAACTAGATGAGCGCCCAGCTTGACCCGGTTGACCCAAAGCCGCTCCCCTTCGATTCAATCGTGTAGCCCTACGTGGGCGTTCAACTAACTTAGTAGGTTAAAAACAGGGCTATAAGGGGACGATCACCCCACTTACACCAGTTACCACCATATACCGCCTTGGTTACAGCCTTCTCACGTTGGGTGAACGAACATCCAAGTACTGGAAAGTTAGTTCACCCACCAAGGGTTGATTGGCACGAGCCCGGTGATTGCCCGTCCCCGAGTTGACGAAAAACGGGGTGTCAAAAGGACATACGTTGAGCTACCCCCAAACTCCATCGATCGGCTTCGGGCAAGGACACATACATCAATCCTGGTTGGCCTGTCCCGGTCCCCAGTGAGCTATTTGGTTTGTGGTCTAGGTCCTCCAGATTTGAGAGCTTAGAACAAGGGTACCAACTTTTGTTCTGTCGATTTTACCCACCGATGTTCATCGGGCATAGCCCGCTGAGGCAGGCACAGCGCTAGGATCTGATGGCCAGAAAGAAAGAAAGAAAAGGGGAACCCTCCCCCTTGGGGACCTAGTTGTAGTTGCCTTTTGGCTGCTCCGCTTGCTTTGTTTTACCGGACCACCCAAAAATGTCAGAAACTCCAGGGCCCCCTGTCTCTATCCAGATCCCTTCGCGCGAGCAGGCATGGGGCTCGGCACTTAGTGCAAAAGGCGAAGAACTACTTCCATTTGCTTAAGCCGCCTGGGGAAACAAAAATTCACAGTTTTTTTTTAGATCGATTCCCTTGAAATCCAACAAGAACAAAAATACAAAACACTTCTTAAGCAAATGGAAGACGATAACCTCGTGTTACTCCCGGATCGGTGAGCTCGTCATAGAACGATTGTGTCTCCAAAAGCCCAAAGGGTTTTCGACTGCCAAACCACTTCCCAATGCAACTTTTGGGTGTGCAGCCACTATAGCTACAAAACACACGCTGAAGGGTGCTGGTTTGGCAGATGCTGGTATGGTGCGGGTGCTACTAAAGCTGTAGCGTGCTGCTTTGTGGATCTTTCGGGTTTCAACTTCAATTTCCCCCACCCAGGGTACAACTTTCTGACCACCCTAAGATGGAAATCAACCCAAAAGTTCTCCTGGTTTGGTGGAATGAGTTTAAGTCTACCCTTGGGTGGTCAAACCCTGCCCCCCGACCCATTTCAACCCGTCACTTCAACCGTTTCCTGACCCACCACACGCTTGTTGAGCTCGCTCTCCAGGTGCAGCAACCTCAGCCCATCGCTCAATCTCACTGCTCACCGTGCAGTCTGCGGCGACCCGCTTTGGTCGAGGTTAACTGCGATCGTGTTTGTTGACCAGGTCCTCCACATTTGAGAGGTTAGAATCAGGGTACCAACTTTTCTCTGTCTATTTTAGTAGGGGAACCCTCCCCCAAGAAAGGGTAAATGGACACTGGGGGACCTAGTTGATGGTACCATCTTGGGGGTTGGTAAGGAAAACCAACAGGCAAACCACCCAAAACCCAAAAACGGGGCGGGGGGGTCATTCTGGGACCCCTGGCCAAAAGCAAGAGACCTACAGGTCACGAATGAAACACCGATCTTTTGTCGATTGGCCAAGGGGGGTCCTGGTTTGGACCACTTTTCCTTCTAAAAAGACTCGCTTACTCAGGTTGAACGTGAACTGGTGGGAGGGTCACCAAACCGTTTGTTTATTGTGGTCCAAACTCACAGATTTAGGCACTCCCTGAGAGTGAGCTTAGGGTGCCACTAAGCAACTACGTACGTTGTTCATTACGTAGGTTATCTAGATTCCTACATTTATATACAGCGCCGCACCGGGTCCAATCAAACAGTGGCCGAACAAATTGGGGACTGCTATGACTGCTCTCATTCACCAACCTGAATTGAGAAATTGTCGAGGGAGAGGGATTTGATTTGGTATACACTCAAAATCATAGCTGGCCCCAAATCATCCAAATCCAAAATCCCGTGCTCTGGTATGGTCCATACAACTCAGCAAGCCTGAAGTTAAGCGGCTGGATTTCAACCACTAAACCACAATCCGCCGACCCTCTGCCTCCCGTCCCAGCCTCCTGCAGAGGGGACCGGCGTGGGATGCAACTGGAAGTGATTGGAATCAATGATAGTCCCTGGGGGACACGCCCGAACCCACAAAAAGTGGATTCCCAGGACCGGTCCCGGGACCGGCCCCGGGACCGGTCCTGGGGACTGGTCCTGGGACCCTGGTTCTGCTGTTTCAGATTACTTGTCGTCAGCCAAAACCGGTCGGGACCGGGACCGGTCCCGGGACCGTCCTGGGACCAGTCCCAGGACCGGGGTTTGGTCCTGGGACTGGTCCCAGGACCAGTCCTGGAACCAGTCCTGGGACCAGGACCAGTCCCAGGACCGGCGGTGTCCCAGGACCGGTCCTGGGACCGGTCCCAGGACCAGTCCTGGGACCGGTCTGGGAAGCCGGTCCAGGATCGAGTCCTGGTGTGACCGCTGGTATTGGGTCCCAATTCAAACTGCTGTGCTGCCACCTCAAACCGCTCCAGACACCTTTCCGGACTGGCACCCAGGACACTGGACAGGGTCCCAGGTCCTCACTCCCTGCGACCAAACCGGCCCGTGCGGATATTGACGTCCTTGTGGTAGTAGAGGATCCCTGGATCTATTCTGCAAGAGAGTCCAATACGTCAAGTCAAACCGCGCCAGACTGGGGCCAGCCTGCTGCCGGCGACCGGTCCAGGGCAACTTCGGGAGGGCCAGTTTCAGGGCGACCCCGGGAGAGGCGACTGCTCCCGGCCAACTCGAAGTGACTTGGGCGCAAGCCGGCCCAAGTGGTAATTAACGGACTAGCTGCCATATTTCTGACTTTTCCGTTAATCCTTGTTTGTGGTCAACTTCGGGAGGGCCAGTTTCAGGGCGACCCCGGGAGAGGCGACTGCTCCCGGGCCAACTCGAAGTGACTTGGGCGCAAGCCGGCCCAAGCGGTAATTAACGGACTAGCTGCCCTATTTCTGACTTTTCCGTTAATCCTTGTTTGTGGTCGTAGAGGATCTTATAAGTGGTCCCTGGGTTTGCGGACGTGTTTCAGGACCGGTCCTTGTGACTTTTCCCTTAATGCGCCGAGGGTCGGCGGCAGCAGGCGGGAGCCTGGTTAATAAGCAAACAACAAAATGGTCACCGCAAGAAGCAAACCAAACAACAACCATGAACAAGCATGCTTCCCAACAACAACAACCAACAACAACAACAACAACAACAACAACCATAAGTAAAAAATCCTTCCCAACCACCATGAGCAGCCCACCGCCCAACGCCCTCGCCTCGCTTTCTCGGTCTGCGACAGCTTGGCCACCGGGATCCCGGTCCAGCGTGCCACCACCTCCCACGTTTCCGGCGGCCCCGCAATTCGCCGCCGCTCGGAGTCGGCTCGGGCGGCCGTAGAAAAAGTTTGGGGAATTTGGGGAATTTGGCGCGTTGAAAGGAACTGTGGAAATATATATATATATATGAATATATATATATATATGTATATATATATATATATGTATGTATATATATGTATATGTATGCCCTCCCACTAACTAACATGGAAGTGCAAAAAAGCCCTTTCCAAGAGGAAAGTAGTCTTTCTACAGGGCTCTGTGCACTTCCATGTTAGCTGGTGGGAGGGTATAAATTAATATTGTCTTGGCTTAACATGGGGGGGATGCCGCAAGGGTATGGCTATGTCCGTTTGTGATGTGTTGTCCTAATCTGTACTCCATTTCCGGGAAAGTGCAGGAAACCATCTGGCAGGATACAGGCTTGCAATTGACATTCTGCCCCCCGGTCCAACCGCCCATGTTTCACCAGGACATGTCGGAAAAAAGGAGATCAGAATTGGAACCCAAGACCAATCACCCCTATCCTCACTTGAGTGGACTGGCCAACCAAAGTCACCAACCAAAGTCACCAACCAAAGTCACTGGCCACAATCAATGGGTCCAAGCTTTTGGAACCACGTGACTCACTCCATGATCCAAGTCCAACGGAACTCGATCCGGGAGTGAGCATCGTTGGCTCTGAGCCCCGGAGCCCAAGTCTAACATACACCAAAAAAACGCATGGCCGTGGGCCAAAAATAGGTGCCCAAAATGGCTTGCCCTGGTAAATGGAACCAAGGACTCAAACCTCCGGTTTTCGGATGGCGTAATTTTGGCCCATGCCTGTATCAGCATCGTCAAAATGGGCCCGGAAACCGGGAACCGTGGCTCAAAAAAGCAATGGAGAGGCATCTGGTCGCCACGGGCTGAAAGAATTTGAAAAAGGCGGACATCCGCGCCCATTCATGGCAAGGGGATCATGCCTAACCACCGTGCAAGAATTAAAAAAGCGGAATTCGACAGCCATTTATGGCAAGGCGACCATGCCTTTCTTACTAACCTTCATCTACCCGTTTTTTGAGCCAGCGGCTCAAATGAGCCCCGTAGACCTGGCCTCTGCAATGTGCATAGGAGTCACCGTCTCGCACAGCAACGGCGAGTCGCAGCTCTCATCGAAGTCCTGGCTTCGACGGAATCCTTCTGCTCGGGTCCAATGGGGCGGCCTTTTCCCACCAATTGACATGGCTGTGGGTCAAAAATAGGTGCCCAAAATGGCTTGCCCTGGTAAATGGAACCAAGGACTCAAACCTCCGGTTTTCTGATGGTGTAATTTTGACCCATACCCACATGGAACCTGACAGGGGGGTCCTTTCAAAGGAAAATGGTCTTCCAGGATCCCTGCCAGGTTCCATGTTGATTGGTTGGTGGGAGGGTAACTCTCCAGGAGCACTTTCTTGGGATTCAGATCTTTCCACATCATGGGGCATCCACCCCTACACAATTCTCTTCTTACTGGTCTGCCTGTCACTATATCTAAGCCGGCTTTTGGATGGGTCTATAGTCAGCCAACAACAAACACTTTTTGAATGGGGACACCATTGGGCAGGCAATTTATGCGGCAGCATATTAACGTGCAACCTGAGCGGAGGATGCTCCATATTGCCCATCCGTGCAAAGCTTATGGAATCCTTTGGGAGGCAAGATGAGCAAGACGAGAACAATTCTGTGACTTTGCTCATGCATGGTGACAAATGCATCTTCGCAAACTCTGTCAGAGCCGTTTCTCGTGGACCACCTCCATTTTGAGGGGTCCCGGGTCTCAACAAAACAACAAACTCAAATAGCTGCTGTTCTGCTACACTGGGCAAGCCGCTTAGCAAGCTACTAAGATCAGCCAACAGGCTCCTTGCTGTGGGGGGCAACAAAACATCTCTTGGAAGGCAAAAAGGCCTGGGTTTTCGATTTGAGGCGCATCTACAGTTGTTTATCCCCTCAGAACATGGACAAAACTGGCCCCTCATTTTACCATTGTCAAAGTTACCCCCGAAGTGGTAGCTTAAAGGGCTAGGTCCTCCAGTAGAGAGGTTAGAATAAGGGTACCCTTTTTTCTGTAGTCTATTTTAGTGGGGAACCCTCCGACAACAAAAGGGTAAAAGGGAGCTACTGGGACCTCGAGGGAGATACCCCCAGTTTCTGACTTTGCAGACCCCAGCAGTCAACCCCAGCAGGCGAACCGCACTTTGTTGCCAGTTCCCGTGCCTTCTTGCGCCTCTCCAGCTCTCGAATGCGTTGCAGCACCTGGGTTATGCGGATGGTGCCACCCTCTGTTATCACGCTGTTTCTTAGGGGGGCACTTTTGATTCTGGGCATTTGGGGGGGGGGGGGGGCTGACAGGCGTTCCTACAAAAGGAAATTGATCTTCCATGGTGGGAGGAAGTACCCTCAAAAGTGGGTATCAGCTTTCAGGAGCCCTGCGCATTGAATTCCCAAGGCCAGCGCCCCCGGGATGGCTTCATAGCGCAGGTCCGCCGCCGCGTCCACATCGTGGCGCGCCTCGAAAGGGAAATGGGGCGATTCTTGGTGGATCTCCGTAGCCGAGTCAAGCTATCTAACCCTGAAGCCATCCCTCCATCCCTCCATCCATCAATCCATTCATTCATCCCGCCCTCCCTCCCTCCGGGTCCCTCCGTCCATCCATCCATCAATATCCCTCCATCCATCTCTCCTCTCCGTCCGTGCATCCAGCCATCCATCCTTCTCGTCCGTCTAGGTCTACACTCCCCCAAACCAAGATGAAAACTCCCCGGCAGGCCTCTGTAAATGGAACCCAGTCTTCCAAAGGGGTCTGTTCGGGCAGCTTCCGTGGAATCGGCTGGGGGAGGGTCTGAGGAAACGATCAGAAGGACACTCAAAGGAAGGGCCTTTGTTCCAGCACCTAGCTATTTTTTTAAAAAAACAGGACTGAACCAATAATAACAGAAAGGCGAGTAGTTGAAGGCTCTCCGAATCTCTCTCTCCCTCTCTGGGTTCTCTCCTTCGTTCCAAACCGCTCCGACTCGCCTCCATGAGGTCCAACTTCCGCTTCAGGTCCTGGAGCTTCGTCTTGGCCTTGCTCCTCGTCTCACCGACTCCACCCGAGCCCACCCGAGCCGAGCCGAGGAGCGAGGAGCGAGGAGCGAGGACCCCATTCTCTTGGCTGAGCCCGGGGAACTGACGAGCCGGCTCCCACCGCTTTTTTGTTCTGGCTTGGCCAAGAAAGTAGCCAAACTCTTTGTTGACAACCAATGGTCTTCTAAACAAATCCGGAAAAAGTACAGGAACCCAGGAAGTGAGTAGATTTAAAGTTGCCTTTGACCCCCAAAGACCTGAAATAATCAGGTCTTGGGCCCCTAGAAAACTAGATGGCCAACAACACCCAGCCTTTCAAGCACTGATACCCATCACTCAAAATCGACCAGGGCCTACCAACTATCTTCTTTGTTGCTAGTTTGGGGCAACTGGTAATCCCTTCAGTACAGTACCTGCTGAGCTGTGTCTAGCTCACAGCCTTGTGTGGTCGGGGTTGAAGGAGAGCCCGCCCCACTCGTCTCCAAAGGCATCATCATCATCATCATCATCATCATCATCATCATCATCATCATCATCATCATCATCATCATCATCATCATCGCCGTCGTCAGGATTGTGATCATCATCATAAGTATCAGTACCATCATCGTGGTCAGCATCAGCGTGATCATATTCATCATCGTCGTGGCATGTCGTGGCCATCATCAGTGTGATCATCTTCATCATCATCCCTAGGACCATCACTATCATTACCACCATCACTATCATCACCACCACCATCATCATTGTCGCCCTGCTAACGACGCTGGGGACGCCCATCACGATCATCATCGTGGCCATCACCGTGATCATCATGATCATCATCACTATGGATGAGATACTGATAGCATCATTCACCAACCGCAGACTTATGATTCACTCCCACCCCACTGCCCTACAACAGACCCTTGATCGGGTAACGCATTCGTTGGAGCCAACCAGTGTGGGGAAAGGGTAGGGGGATGAATCCTATGAACAGAAGGAGCAACTTCCATGAAAGAGAAACCTCCATAGAGAGGTCGCGGTGATTTGCCCGGATGTTCAGTTGATTCCCAAGACCAGGGTTGCTCCCCACTCCCACACGGTTTGCAGAACAAAACACATTCACCACCTGGAACATTTCGTAGCCCATGTGTCCTCCCAAGCGATTTCTTCTCCTTCCCGCGTCTTCGGTAAGCAACCCCGAAAAGAGAAGCCAGAAAAATGCTCTCGCTGCCGTCCGGAATCACCTGTGCTTCTTTCGCGTGGCTGTGAGCAAAATCCCTCCCTGCCACATGCCAAATGCAGGCAAGCGGCAAGTCGTCAATGAGCTCTTTCTCCTGCAAAGCACGAACCAATGTGGCTTGCGCAACGGACCTGGAAATTCAAGAATTTCTTGTGGTGTTACTCCCCTTCAAATTAACATGCAATAGGAGTTTCCTCTAGACTCTAGAAATGATGTTCTCTTGATCAGCAGCCCTGGCGGGCGACTCCAAAAAAAGACGCGCCCAGATTTATGTCCTTCGCTTCGCAATCGGGTTGCTATGAAAGGACCCTTCCTGAACTTCCAACTTAACCCTCAAAGGCCATATCTTAAGCAAACCCCCCGGATCGGAACTTCCATCTGGCCACAGTTCGCATCAGCTCCCCCGTTATCCCTCTTGGCCTTACTTAGTAATAATTTCAATAGGCTTTTGATAATTTCAACAGATTCCATCTGAAAAGGCCTGCTGAAACCGTCGATTCCCGTCCGACCCTTAGATGTGACTCCACAGTTTGGCACAGTTTGGATTTAGTCATTTCAGTAGGCCACGGCGGATATGGCTGTGGCTCAAAAAGCTGGTACCAAAATCAACCCTGGTAAGTGGAAACATGAACCAAAACCTGCGTAACCCCTCCTGTTTAATTTTGAGCCACACCCATATAGGAATTCACAGGTGAGCTCCACAGTTTGGAGCAGTTTTGATCTTTTCTGCGGGGCTGACTCCACAGATTCGCCGCCTAACCGTAGAGTCCCCCATCGCTCCTGCTGGTACCGCGCCCTGAGGGGCGCCAGCTCCTCTGTGACCTGGGACAGCTCCTTCTGCGCCTCAAAACTCGTGTGCCCGGCCCCCCTGAAATGGCAGAAAACGGTTTTCCTGTTGGTCTCCCAATATTATTCAAAAACAACAAACAACGCTTCGATGGGCTCTCACCGCGCGGTTTTTCGGTCCAGAGTTTTCTGTCTGTTCAATGCGTCTTGGGGTTTTTACGCCCACAGACGCTGCTTGTTGTCATCGATGTTCAAATATGCCCTTGGGGCAATGATGATAATGTGTGCGTGAACGTGGATGCTGATCAAGTGGCAGGCATGCACGCAATGATGATAATGTGTGCGTGAACGCGGATGCTGAGCATGTGGCAGGCATGCACGCAACGATGATAATGTGTGCGTGAACGTGGGCGCTGATCATGTGGCAGGCATGCACGCAATGATGATAATGCGTGCGTGAACGTGGATGCTGATCATGTGGCAGACATGCACGCAACGATGATAATGTGTGCGTGAACGTGGATGCTGATCATGTGGCAGGCATGCACGCAACGATGATAATGTGCGCGTGAACGTGGATGCTGATCATGTGGCAGGCATGTACGCAATGATGATAATGTGTGCAATGATGATAATGCGCGCATGCACGCAACGATGATAATGTGTGCAATGATGATAATGTGTGCGTGAACGTGGATGCTGATCATGTGGCAGGCACGCACGCAATGATGATAATGTGTGCAATGATGATAATGTGTGCATGCACGCAATGATGATAATGCGTGCGTCAATGTGGGTGCTTATCATGTGGCAGGCGTGCGCTCAGTCATGAAAGTGTGCCCGTGAACGCAACATACGCCCACTGCTCCAAACCCGCGCGCAGGTCGTCAAAAATGGCCCTGAAACCCTTGTTTACAGTGGGAAACGAAACGCGAAAAGCGCGCGGAAACACCCCATCGGAGGGAACAACAAAAACAAAAAAAACACAAACATAACTGGGCACCATCAAAAAAACCATCTAGGTGGATCTGGGGGAATGATTTTTGTTCACCAGTCACAAATGAGCTTGACATGGTTCAAGGTTACCCTAGGGAGACCAAAAGGAAACACACAATACATACCGTAAATTGGAAAATCTCACATCCATCCGCAAAGGGCGTTCGTGTGTGAGCTTGTTGTGGCCAGCGAGCTCTTTTCTGGCGCCTCTTTAAAAGAAAAGGTGCTTCCTCTGTCAGGTGCCATGGCAACGTGGGAGATTCCCCCCTTTACCCACCCCAAACGTCCCCACCCCAAACCATCCCTTGGGCCCGCTGGAAGAAGCGCGCGAGGGCCTCCTGCAGCCTGGTCTTGGAGCCGCTGTCCTTCTCCTTGCTCAGCGCCTTCACCTTGACCCACCCACGAGGAAAATCCTTTCCGCCGGCCCGGGTGTGCGTGGGTGGGCGGGCGGGTGGCCATGTATGTATATAATGTAATGTAATGTAATGTATTGCAATGCAATGCAATGCAAAGCAATGCAATGCAATGCAATGTAATGTAATGTAATGTATGTAGGTCTGATAAGTTTTTTTTTCTCGTTCCGAAAGAGATACTTTTTGTTTCTTGGTTTCAAAGGGCAACCAAAACGAACCCCTTGCCACCTCTGGGAGCCCCCCCCCCAAAAAAAGTACACACCCGTTTGCGTGATTGTCTTGTTTGGGGCGGTACCCTGTACTCATGTCCACCAACCAACTGGAAGAAAGCCCCCCAACAGCATGTTCAACCATGTCCAAAAAAGAGTTGTTGCGGGGGGCTGGTTGGGTTTCTGTCTAAGGCAAACAAAAAAAGGACCCCTCAAACAAATGTGTGCGCAGGAAACTTTTTCAGTTTGACCCTCGGATGTATGTCCCGCTTAGTTTACAAGGGCAATCGACGTTTCAGATTCAGACCCCAATCATGTCAAAGAGAAACCTACTCCAAAGACAGAAGAAACAAGACCAAGAGGCCTTATTCTGGTAGTGTATTGAAGAGCACCCTCCCTCAGGAAACCAAGAAGAAACAACAAATGGATACTAATGAGGACGCGGGGTCTGAGTTTGGTGGGAGGTTTGGCTCGAACAGCTTGCGACTTGTGGCTCGTGACCCGCCAGCCTCCACCTCCAAGTACTGCCTCCGGCGCTCCAGTGTGTCGATGGCCTGAGGAAGAATTCGATCGAAGGTCGCGCCTTCACGAAATGGCCGCGGCGAGCCTTTGTCTGGATAGGTTTGTCTCAGCAAGCCCCAAAATGGGCTTGGTCTCCCTTCGGCTTTATTTTTGAACAACCAAGGAGGGAATAAAGCAATTGGACCAGGGTCCGGCTCAAGAAAGGAAGATGGCTTAGAGAGTCAATCAGAATTTCCCATCAACCTAGGGCTATGTGTCAAAAATAAACAACTCAACAACACCAAACAACAAAACACAAAAACAAAGCACTACTCCAAAAACAAACAAAACAACCAACCAACAAACCAACCAAACCAACCAACCCATCAGCGGCAGTCCGAAAATGTGGAACAGTTCGATTTCCGCCGCGCCTCGGGCTGCGAGGAGAGCTGCACGCGGATCTTACTGCAGGCCTCGTCCAGCAGGTCCACCGCCTCTGGCGCACACTCGGCGATTTGGTCAAGCCAAAGAGCCCGACGTCAAAAATTATAATGCGGACCTGGGTGGACCCGAACCATTGACATGTGGCACCTTATCCATTAGACGATCCATCTGCTTCGGTGCTTGACCAACGACTAGCCCTAACAGGATAGAAAGAAAAAAAGGAAGGAAGCAAAAAAAAGGAAGGAAGGAAAAAAGGAAGGAAGGGGAAAAAGGAAGGAAGGGAAAAAAGAAAGGAAGGGAACAAATAAAGGAAGGGAAAAAAGAAAGGAAGGGAAAAAATAAAGAAAGGGAAAAAAGAAAGGAAAAACAAAAGAAAGGAAGGGAAAAAAAGAAAGGAAGGGCAACAAGAACGGAAGGGAAAAAAGAAAGGAAGGGAACAAATAAAGGAAGGGAAAAAAGAAAAGAAGGGACAAAAAGAAAGGAAGAGAAAAAAGAAAGGAAAAGAAAACAGAAAGGAAGGGAAGAAAGAAAGGAAGGCAAAAAAGAAAGAAAAACAGAGAAAGGAAGGGAAAACAGAAAGGAAGGGACAAAAGAAAGGGACAAAAGGAAGGGACAAAAGGAAGGAACAAAAGGAAGGAAACAAAGGAAGGACAAAAGATAATGAACAAAAGGAAGGAACAAGAGGAATAAACAAATATTGAAAAACAGAAAGGAAGGAAACAAGGAAGGAGCAAAAGGAAGGAAACAAAGAAAGGAACAACAGGAAGGAAGCAAGGAAGCAAGGCAGGAAAAAAGGAAGGAAGGAAGGAAGGAAAACAGGAAGGCATGAAGGCATGAAGGCAGGAAGGCAGGAAGGCAGAAAGGCAGACAGAAAGAAACAAAAAAAGGAAAGACAGAAAAAAGAAAGAAATAAAGAAAACAACATAAAGAAAGAAAGAAAAAAAGAAAGAAAGAAAGAAGAAAGAAAGAAAGAAAGACAGAAATAAATAAATAAAGACGAAACAAATAACCTTAAAGAAAGGAGAAAAGAAAGGAGGAGGAAAGAAAGGAGGAGGAAAGGAGGAGGAAAGAAAAAAAGGAAAGAAAGGAAGGAAGAAAGGAAGGAAAGAAAGAAAGGAAAGAAAGGAAGGGAAAGGAAGGAAAGAACGGAAGGAAAGAAAGGAAGGACAAAAAAGGAAGGAAACAAAGGAAGGACATAAAGGAAGGAAAAAAAGAAGGAAAACGAGGGAAGGAAGAAAGAAAGGAAGGAAGGAAAGAAGCAAGAAGAAAGAAATCAAGAAAGCAAGGAAGCAAGGAAGCAAGGCAGCAAGGCAGGCAGGAAGGAAGGAAGGAAGGAAAGAAAGAACGGAAGGAAAGAAAGGAAGGAAAGAAAGGAAGGAAGGAAAGAAGTAAAGAAGTAAAGAAGGAAAGAAGGAAAGAAGGAAAGAAGGAAAGAAGGAAAGAAGGAAAGAAGGACAGAAGGAAAGAAGGAAAGAAGGAAAGAAGGAAAGAAGGAACGAAGGAAAGAAGGAAAGAAGGAAAGAAGGAAGGAAGGAAGGAAGGAAGGAAGGAAGGAAAGAAGGAAGGAAGGAAGGAAGGAAGGAAGGAAGGAAGGGAGGGAGGAAGGAAAGAAATACAGAAAGAAACTCAAGAGAAAACAGAAAAACAAAAACAACAAAACATAGAAATAACTTTGAGACACGCATATGACTTTTAAGGATCAACCACGCCGCTCAGGTTGGACAAGAATGCTAGACTGGGCCTATCGATTCAACCCAACGCCCAGCGCGCCTTGTCCGGCAAAAACCTGGAAGGGCTGGGCACAAGCAACATCAGGGTGTTCAACCAACATCAGGTAAGTGGGTGATACAGTCATACACATGTTTTTTCAAGGAGGCGACCCGAACTACACCAGTTCTAACAATGGTTATAACCTACTAAGTCGGGTCCTTTGTTCCCTACATGGATGTTCAACCAACTTAGTAGTGTATAACCATGGTTATAGTTCGTGTAACTGGGGTGATCAACCTCTAACCATGGACATAACCTTGCCTGACGTTGGTTGACATCCAGCTGGACTGCGGACTCGGGATCTGAAAAAGCTGAGATCGCCTCCAACATAACAAGCCGCAACCAGGGGTTTCACGGGGTGTTTGTCCAACAGTGGCAGTTTCAAGAGACTGGGTCCTCCAGATTTGAGACGTTAGAATAAGGCTACCAGCTTCTTTTTTCTGTCTATTTTAGTAGGGGAACCGAATCTCCCAACCAAAAAAAGGGGTAAAAGAGCGGGCACGACTCGCTGGGAGACCTTGGAGAAACCCCAGTGAATTACAACCTCAGGGAAATCCAGCGACCCCGGTTTTACTAATGTTAACCCCGGATTAATAAACCCCTGGTTGATTTTGATTGGGGGGTGTCCCCTTTTAGTGCGAATTCATTACTTTTGGAGGACACCCCCCCTCAAAAAAAGGGGACGGGTTTATTAATGTTGGGTCAACATTAATCCCTTCCTTCCTGAGTGACCTGCCTCTCGACGATCTCTTCCCAAGGAAACCCGCCCAAACAAGTCAAGAGATGTTTTGGACCGGAACGGGCCCCAAAACAACTCCATGAGTGGAGGGGCTCCAATCGGTTCCTGGGCTTGGACTCCAGAACCCGAGGTGCCCGTACACCCCGAATTGCTTCAGGACATATTTTGAGGCCCCCGTTTTCTCACTTGAGTGGATGGGGCTGTGGGACGAAATGGCCCCTGCTAAATGGAAACATGGACTAACCTGCAATCCAATTCCTGGTGGTGACTCATTTGGACCCATACCCATGTATATCTTCATAAATACTAACTGCATATATATATATGCATATATACATATATATATATATACATAATTAGGAACAATGGAAAAAAGAAAAAAACATACACAACACAAACACCTTCTCCCACGCAAACCCCTCGGCTCGTTTTTCGCCGATCGCCGGTGATCCGCTGCGCCTGGTGGTGATGTAGCGGTCCGAGAGCTGAGCTGCCGCCACCAGCGAGGCGTCTTGGATGCTCACCCCGTGGTGCGACGCATAACGCTCCTCTGGGATCTTGGTTGCTTTCTGCTCCCCTGCTAAAAGCTTAACTTTTAGTGGTTAAATTCGGAAAACTCATTAGTTGGCAAAAAGTGAAAGCCCTAACATCCAAGCAAAACTCACCAAAGAAGTCTTCATAGGCCGATTTGTTGCGAAACCTCAAAATGGCGATATTTTGATTTGGAGGCGGCGGAAGCCCTCGGTTTTGGTCACACGGATGTTCGGGGAAACCAACAAAAGGTGCGATGAGCGACAAGAGAGGCCGCCTGGGTCTTTGCACGTCACCAAAATCACGAGCTTGGGTGTGCTTTGGCAGAAAGCCAACAGGATGAATCAATTTTGAGTCAGGTGGGTTCTTCAATATAAACTCAAGACGACTTTGCAAGCCCAAGAGCCCAAGTGTCCGCCACGTGCAACAAGGGATTGGTTCGGTCAGCAATTGATGGAGTTATGCCCACGAGAAACTTTACGAATGTTTTCCAGGGAAATTAATCGCCTGACTTGCAAAATTGGGGAATTCTCCTGTGGGTCTGTCTTTTTCTGAGGGAACCCCCAAAACAATTGGTTTCCCTTTGGAGTGTTCCTTTAAAACCACTGAAAGGGGGTCATTTTCTGTCAGACAAAGAATCCTGGCAGGAGACTTTTTGAACTGGCCCAAGCGATGTCCACCCAAGCGAAAACCCAAAAACGTGCTTCTGGACCAAACAGGAAATCTAGCGACCCCAAGTCATTCATGGTTCAGCCACACGCAATGAACCCTTTTTGGACTTGGTTCAGCGACACGTTGCCCGACGCGCCTTGAGCCCTCGCAAGATAGTAATGGCCGTCTGCACCGTAGGCTCGTCCACGCGCACCTGAAAAACAAGAGTTGACGGTTCACCTTTTCTCGAGAATGATCATCTGGCTGTCCTTTTGAGGGGACCCACTAAAACTTTAAACCCCCCCCCCAAAAAAAAAGACACACTGATCGGATGTGTCTCGTTTTAGGGGACCCCCTCCCCAACAAAAAAGATGAGGTTGTGTTTTTGACCTTCCTCTACAACCGTACAAGGCTTGGTTGACGTTGGAAGGGGAGCAAAAATTTAAATTTTAGCAGTTAAGTGGGGATTCCCTCCTAAACCACAACAAGCAAACATGTAAAATGTTTCCCAACGACAACCATGAAGGGGTGACAAACTCACAAAAAAGGCACTCCCATTTTAACACATGGTCGCCGCGCACATCTTTTCAGCATGGACGATTGCACGTATCGCTCGGGGAGAACAATACTTGGTTGCTGTTGACCCCTCTGCAAAAAAACACACAAACCTCTTGTCGATCCAATGGAAAGTACACTGCTACCCAAAGAGTTGAAGTCCAAAGAGCCGTTACCAAATAGCCATCAAGGAGAATGCCCCACATGTCGCCTTTGATGCTTCGCCTTGGATTTACAGCAAAACAGAAGACTCCCATGGTGGGTGAGCAAACCCTAGCGGCCCAAGACCTCGAAGTTATTTAAGGGCTTGGGGGGGTCAAATTGGCCCCGATGCTCGTATTTCGGGATTTAGGGTCTTGGCCCCCTGGGGAAATGAAGTTACTACTGTGGCATCGGTTCATGGTCCCAAGCCAAATCAGAGGGACGTATTTCTGTCCTTTTCCGGCCTTCAAGTCGGATGGTGTTCCAAGGCGACCGAAATCTCCAACAAGTCCGAAGACTTGTTGACCTTTACAACGTTTTGGTATGGTAGCTTTTTTTGCAGGCCCCCCCCCAAAAAAAACAACATGAACAGAATCAAGAAAATATTAAAACAAACACACTTGAACACATGAGCAGTGAAAAAAACCCCTGTTACCCGTAAAGGAAATTACTTCAGCTTCCGCAATCGCTTGCGGAAAGCTTCCGCCAACCGAAAGGTCGCTTACGTTTGCTATTTTTCGAAGATGGAGCTTACGCATAGCTTACGACAAGTTGCTCGTGCCTGATCCTCGATGAGCAAGAGGCGCTAGCATGACAAAGCAACAGCTTGCAGATGGAAAGGCTGCTGCGCAGGCCCAGCAAGACAATCGAGGGCCAAAAAAAGCTGAAAACAAACTTTCGGGGCACGAAAAGTTGTTTTCTGCAGAAAGCGCGCGGAACCTCTGCGAGCAAGAGGCGCCGGCAGGACAGAGCAACAACTTGCCTGGAAAGGCGCAAAGGCTTTGCTGCACAGGCTCAGCAGTGACATGGAGGGGAAAACTTTTGGGAACCCGAAAAGTTGTTTTCTAAGTTGTTGTTCCAGCCCGCGAGCCCGCTTTGATCTTGTGGTTGTACAAAATGATCGGCATATCGTAGGCTGACGCCGCAATGGCCAGGTTTGGGCAAGCGGTGGTGGTCACAAGCAGGAGCCCGGCAGCAGCTCCCGCGTTGGCTGCGCGAAGAACTTCGCTATATGCGCGGATCGGTCTTGCCTGGAAAGCAAGAAAAAAGGAAAGAAGAAACCATGCTGCTCTTGCTCAGGTGTACATGCAAACTGCTGTGGGATTGGAAAAATTCAAGGACCTTGGGGCCCGACAAAAGACCAAACCCGGATGGCTTTCTGCTTCGTTGGGGGCTCTTCGTTGGCGTCAGCGCATTCATTTTGGATCTCGGGCGGCAGATCGTCCATGCACGTCTCCATGAACCTCATGAAGGATTGGTCGCCGTCCATGTCTTGGTCCTCAACCTCAGCGTCCACCGACCGGTTGTTCAGGAAGTATCCGCATCGTCCATTGCAGCGGATGTTCACCTTACACGAGCGGCAACTCTACTTTAGTTACAGCGCTGCTACTGCAACGCGGACAGTGCAACCGGCGCTTGCGCGTCATACTTCAATGAACACTGCTCTTCCTCTTTGGTGGGCCTTTACTCCGTGCAGCTAACATGCAGCAGAGGCGCTCTGTCCTGGGGCTCTGCGCGTGCTGGTATCTCCACAAAATGGGGGACTGGGGAAGGATCACTAGCTTGGTCCTCTGGCTTCACTGCTTGGCCTGCCACGTTGGAACAAACGAGCAGCCATTCCGCGCGCGTGGCCAGTCTGTGGCTGGCAGCTCTGGCAGCACTGCAGTCGAGCTTTACCTCCAAGACATTGCTGTTCGCAAAGCTTTCTTGCAACTTGGCAGTTGCAAGCGCCATGCCAGAGATTTCTGTGCCTGCAAAAACCACGATACGAACCCGCTTGGCAGTGTTGGGCAGCGTGCTTTTGATTGAGTCCAAAAGGATGGAGGTGCGCCTCCAGCAAGGAGCAGCGTCGACCACAACCAGCCAGCTGTCCCACGTGCCTCGCGCTCGAATGTCCTCCAGTTGCACTCGCGGGAGCAACGGTGTCTGAAACACATGCTTCTTCTTTGGAGTGCTTTGTGTGATCGGGGGAAACGCCTGTCATTACACGGCGTCACCGTTAGAAAGAAGGGCGGAATCGCCAGCCAGGGTTGGGGAGCAATGAAAATACATCCGGACCCCACACCGCAAACACTTTCACCAGGGTCACGCTAAGGTTCAGAACAATGAAACAGCTACAAGCAAAGAGGGGACACCCCGCACCCGCGCCAATCTCAGCCAGCAAAACAACAAAGCCACATGCTGCAGGCCTATCTCTATACCGTTGTCTGGCAAAGCTTGTTACAGGCGTTTGCAAAGTCAAGTGCGCAAACCAAAAGAACGACCCGAACGGTTCAGCTGCTCCGTGGTCAGAGACAACACTGATGGCATTGCAGCAGCAAACCTTTAAAACAACATGGCAGTCTGACAAGTCGCAAACAACATCAGTTAGTCAGTCAGTCAGTCAGTCAGTCAGTCAGTCGGTCGGTCGGTCAGGCAATCAGTCAGTCAGGCAAACAGTACTCAGAGTCAGATCAGAAGGAAAATGGGGAGAGCAGCAGCAGTCGGCCCGTCAGTCGGTCCGGCAGTCAGTCAGGCACTCAGTGATTTCCACCGTCGGCGTGCTAGAGTGTTGCTCGTTTGAGGCAAAACCGTGTTCACTGTCGGCACGTAAAAGTGTTCATTGTTGGCGCATAAGCGTGCCCACAGTTGGCGTCCAAAAGTCTTCCTTGTTGGCGCAAAGTGTGGTGTCACCGTGACTGTCGGCGCAAACAAGTGTTCCTTGTTGGCGCACAAGCGCGTCCGCCATCGGCACACAAGAGTGTTCCTCGCTGACGCATAGCCGTGTTCACCGTCGGCGCATGAAAGTGTTCATTGTTGGCGCATAAGCGGGCCCACTGGCGGCGCACAAAAGTGTCCGTTGTCGGCGCACAAAGTGTGTTCACTGTCGGCGCACAAGAGTGTTCCTTGCTGGCGCATTAGCGTGCCCCACGGCGGCGCACAAAAGTGTCCGTTGTTGGTGCACAGGTGTGTTCATAAGCGTCGCTATCCTTGGCCCACAAGTCTCCTCTGGCGCACAAGCGTGTCCATTGTCAGCTGACTGGGGGCAGGCAGGCAGGCAGGCACCAGACAGCGCTCCGTGCGTGACACTGGCAAACTAGACTTGCCCTGCAGTCCTCCTGCACGCATTCCATCTCAGTGTGCCTGGTGATCCTGTCCCAGGCAATCATGCCCTTGACGCGCGCCTCTTCCTCTGCCGCCTTCTTCTGAGCAGCGGCGGCAGCGGCAAGTTGCTCAGCCTTAACATCGGCATCCATGTCAGCCTCTTCGAAAGCGTCCACCAGGTCGATGGCCATGTCATGCTCGGCATAGCCTGCCGCCTTCGCAGCAGCAGCAGCCTGGCGCTTCTCCTCTTCAAACTTGAGGCGCGTGGCTTGCTCATCTGCCTGAAGCTGAGCCTGGGCGGACTTGCGTGAAGCTTCCTGAGCTTCTTCTGCAGCTGCCTTCAACTCCTGCTCTAGCAGCGCAACCTCTCGCAGCGTGTTGATCTTCTTGCCGGAGTTCACAGCTGCGAGGACCTGCTGACTTGGTTTTCCCCCTAGCCCTTTCCTCAAACCCCATACCTCGAGAGAAATCGAGTACCTCAAAGGTTCTCTCAGAAAGGTCTTTCAAAACATATTAGAAAGGTGTGGAAAACCTGCAGAGAAGACATTCGGGTTTGCATGCGCCTGCGTGCGCATGCAGGAGTCATTCTGCATGGCAATCTTCAGCCTTTGGTAGGCAAGCGAACCTGCGCACTTGAACTTGTGCTCCAAGTTCTTCATGTAGTACTGGCACACGAAGAGCGGGCGCAAGTACTTCTCACTGACCCGCTGCTTGTTCAAGACGGCGCCCTTTGCATCCAGGTCCTGGGAAATCTGCTGAAGCACGGCCACCTGCCAATCTGCATCCAGCCGCTGCCGCTTGTCCGTGCACATAAACTCGCTGGCGTCCAAGATGAAGGTGCTCGAGATGCCGTGCTTGATTCCTTTCTCTCGCACCCTGCCTCGGACATTGAAGCCACCAAGATGTTAGCGCAGCAAGTCAGTGGCCAGCGCTAAGCCCTCGAATCTAAGCAGCTTTTGTTTGGCACACTTGGCACTGAATCTCTTGGGTCCGCCACCCTACTGCACTTAGACGCGAAGGCTCGCTCAATTCATGTTGCAGACGCAGCCAGCACACGGGAAAAGAAATCGCAGGGTCAAGCAAACTACCAGCAAGCCCGAGTTGCCAGCGATCCAGTCCAAGGTCGCCTGCGGCACGCGCTCTCCTGCACGGATAAGCTTCTCCACTGTGCTCTTAGACTTGCTCATGAGCCGCATCAACGCCTCCGCCCCTTGCTTCTGCTCTCCGTAAGCAGAAAGGACCTGCCACAGGGATGCGCAAAAGCAAAAGATGGCGCGCAGGTGCGCAAACGTGTGTCAGACAAGTGAGGACTGGGCGAGCGCAACGGGCGAGAGCCAAGCCAATTATACTCACGCGGGGACACTCAGCCAACCCAGCCTCCTTGCAAAACTGGATCTTCTGCACCAAGTTCGACTCCAAGAATTGGTTGTTGGAGGCATCGTGGGCTGACATCTGGAAGCCCTGAATCACCAACCTGTCTGTGCTCCCATACCACATAACTGGCAAAGGAATGCCCTTTTGTAAGTGAGCCCATAACTCAGCAGTGACCGCGGTCTCGTCTTCGACTTCGCTTGCCAAAGCTCGCAAAGCCAAAATAGTGGATTTTCCATTTGCAAGCAGTGGTCTGCCATCTGTGTCCAGCTTGAGGCTGCCCGACTCGTTCTCTGCAAGAAGGGAGGGGCCAGTCAAGTTGGTTGTGCCGTAGTGATCTCTGAACATGTCTTTGAAGTAGGTGACAACAGCGGGCTGCTCCTCCCGCCAACCACTCAAGTGGCAGACGGAAATCTCATCAGCCTTCAGCGTCACCTCCTTGACCACGCGGGGCGAAGTCATGGGAGCGACCTCGCTTTTTGGCAAACGGGGGGTCCCTTCCAAGGGACCCCCAAAAAACCAGTGTAGGCCCTACACTGGTTTTTTGGGGGTCCCCCAGAAGGGACCCCCACACTGTTTCGGGCTGCGACAGACTCTCAGATCAGCCTTACCTCCCTTCCAGGGGACCCCCAAAAAACCAGTGTAGGGCCTACACTGGTTTTTTGGGGGTCCCCCAGAAGGGACCCCCAATTTTCCAAAAAAAACAAGCGAAAGGAACTGACCGGAGACCGCACCTGGGCTACGGCGTTGCACCGCTGGACTCTCAGATCCAGAGCTGCGTTTCCAATCACAACATGGAACAACGGACTGTGGCACGAGTGTCAAACACCGATCTCGCATTTTCTGCTGTAACTCCGCAGCTCAAGCCACGGGGAGCGAAGGCACTATACGCCTCCGATATGGCCGCGCACCGGCGGACCAGGAGCAAAACTTTTCGTATTCACACAATGAAGTTTGAATTGAATGGGCTTCACGCCCAAGCTGGTCTGCAAGTGAATTTATCGTGGCTGCTGAATTTTCCCAAGCCCTAACAATTCTGAGGCCGGCTGCGCTGCCCTTTGCCTCGGGGCATGTGAAGCCCCGGTCTCGCAGCGACAAAGCGCCGAGGTGATGGAGATCCAAACAAATCTGGAGCGAATGAAAGCGAAGCCTTCTCCTAGCATTTCCCTTTCCTTTGCCCGCTGCTTGGAACAAGTTGCACAGGTGATCACGGACGGCTCCAAGGTCCTGGAATGTCTTGGAAGCGATGTCCAAGGCAAGCTTGTGAGATAGAGGCAGGAGGATGGCGGTAATCTCACTCAAGCTCAGCACTGCTCTGTAGGCACGCCTGCCACTGAACTGGAGCTCCCGCAAAGGCAGTGACATCTGCAGCACATCGGCGATCCGCGTGGGTCCTGCCATTTTAGGGGCCAGTGGTGCCACATTCACAGGCCCATCCACCTTTTGCTCTAAACAACTCCAGCATGACGAAATGATGTGAACCTAAAGCTCCAAACATCTGCACCTTGCTGCAACACCAAACAACCCCAAACCCAGACCAACATATCGATCACTTCCCGTCAGCCAGCGCTGTCCCAGTGCATGCCGGAAGCTCGGAAAGCGCTCGGCAGTCCTTTGCCTTCGCTGTTCGCAGGGCTGCCAAGCATGCGGTGAAGCACAACCAGCGCCACTTGCTGCTGATGGCCGCGATGAAAGCGGAGGGCGCTTGCCATAAGCTCTTGAGTTCCCTGAAGGCCAGTGACGCTTCACAAACAAAAGCTCCAACAGTGGGGGTGCCGAGAATCCAATCCTACAAAAGGCATTGCGCACCGAGCTTGATGCGTCCACATGCAGTTGCAACCCGAACCCTTCCGAGAATAGTCACTCCAATGGTCTGCTTTGCTTGGGAAGCAAATACAAAAGGGTCAGAAAGCACATCTGTCATGCGCAGACACACACACAAACGCACACACACAGATACAAAAACACGCAGACACACGCAAAAACAAACACACAGACACGCAGACACGCAGACACGCAGACACGCAGACACACAGACACACAGACACACAGACACACAGACACAGACACACAGACACACACACAGACACAGACACACAAACACACAGACACACACACACAGACACACAGACACACAGACACACAGACACACAGACAAAAAGACAGAAACACGCAGACAGTCGGACACAAAGACACAGACACGGACACAAGCACACACACCAAACAGGAGCTTTTGACAAGCGGCCCGGTCGAGCCGCCGATCAGTGTTGCAGAAGTGCGCCAAGTTCAACAGCTCGTGCGTTGATCTTCCGGGACGCTCGCGACCTGGGCATGCCGGGTTTAGCCTTGACAAAAAAACGTGAAGGACATTTGTTTTATTGTTTGGACCAGGCACCAACGCATTTTTTACTTGCAGAAAGTGTTCAGGGTGAGGTTTTTCGAGCGAGGAGCTTTCTAAGGGGAAATCGTGGTTGATGTCGAGCCTGTACAAGGCTTGGCTATAAGTCCTGCTAACGCAGCTGAAACTGGGGCCCTGGGAAAAGTGGCTAGTGTAGTAACTACCCTTGAGTTTCCGGAACAGAGTGTTTATTGCAGCCAAACCTCAGCCTTTCACGCCGATCTGTCTTTGAAGCGATGGGATAGCAAAGCTGACATGGAACCCTCACGTTAGAGTCATCTAGCATCGCCGCAAAACTCGAGGATGCCTTGTCTGGTTGTTTTACAGAAAAAACGCAAGAGAAACTGACACACAGACAAAACACACAAGCAAGTGAAAGGTTGTCCAGTCAGACTGCTGCCACCATCACCACCGCGCCCTCAAAAAAAAAGCAACGAGTTAGAAACCTGCAAAGCCATGCCAATGAACGCCACAAAAACGAATACACCCCAGTAGGAACGACAGCAACACAAAAAGAGAAGGACAACAACAAACAACGGAAACGTTGACGGGCAACAGAGGGGTTTTGGGACGTGACCTCTGGCGCCCGCAGCTCCAACCCCCTGGCAACCTCAGCCAACAACAAGGCAACGAGGGCAACAATATGATAACCACACAACAACCAATCCGCCGACGTTTTCGGCGGACACCAGAAGAGGATAGAAGCTTCCCCCCTCCCAGCAGGGGGGTGGCCCCGTACCACCCAGCAATTCCAAGACCTCTCTTTGCGTAGACCAAATCCTTTCATACGAGGAGGGGCCGCGGGCAATGATGCTGTGTAACAAGTCTGGATCGATTCCCCACGGCCCCTGGCCAACATCCCCAGCATCGCCGTTGCGTCCTCGGCAGAACACCCGCAACCCCCCCGCATCCCAAACATCTGGAACCCAAAAACTCCCCAACCTTCAAGAAACATTGTAAATACACATCGCCCCCCGATCCCCCCCAACATCCTCTGCATCTCCGCCAAGATCACAAGCATCCCAGCATTCCTTCCACTTGCGTCGCGCCAACCCTCAAAAAATAGATCCGGGGAGTAGGTTTTCGCGGTGGGCAAACGTAGCGGGGATGATTGCGATCCAGTGGCCGGCGCCGCTATTTCACAGGATTTTGTGGGGCTTAGAGTGGATGCCGGGGATGCAGGGCCGCGCGCCTGCGCCGCACAAGCGCCACGGCGGATGGGTGCGAATGGGGTGGCATGGGTGGGTGGGAGGGTGGGTGGGATGGGGTGGGGGAATGTGTGGGCGAGCGATAGGGTGGGGAACCCCTGCAGCCAACCAGCGCAGCTGGTGATGGCGAATAGGAGCAAGGAGGGTCAAATGAAAGGTCCCTATATGTGTCTTTGTGGGCTTTCCTGTATGAACGAGGACATTGCAAACAAAAAGCTAACTTTTGTAGGGCAAATTCTTGGAAAACAATGATAAAGCCCATACTCGTGAAACAAGATCCTACAAGCATAGGCCTGTAATGTCTGCGGCGGATTGAGCCGGAAGCTTGCTTCGACTCAAACACAGCACACTCCAAATCACCACCCGTCACCACAGAGTGAATGTGCAATGATGGCGCCTGGAGCCTCGGGCGCCCGGCGCCTCGGGCAGGCGCCCGGCGCCTCGGGCGCCCGCCGCCCCGGGCACCCGCCGCCCCGGGCGCCTGCCCGCCCGGCGCGCCCCGCGCCTCGGGCGCCCGCCGCCCCGGCGCCCGCGCCTGGCCCCCCGGGCGCCCGGCGCCCGCCAGCACGGCTCCCCGCAAACCAACGGAATATGATAACCACACAACAACCAATCCGCCGACGTTTTCGGCGGCCACCAGAAGAGGATAGAAGCTTCCCCCCTCGCAGCAGGGGGGTGGCCACGTACCACCCAGCAATTCCAAGACCTTTCTTTGCGTAGACCAAATCCTTTCATACGAGGAGGGGCCGCGGGCAATGATGCTGTGTAACAAGTCTGGATCGATTCCCCACGCCCCCTGGCCAATCCCCCAGCATCGCCGTTGCGTCCTCGGCAGAACGCCGCAACCCCCCCGCATCATCTGGAACCCAAAAACCCCCCAACCTTCAGGAAACATTGTAAATACACATCGCCCCCCGATCCCCCCCAACATCCTCTGCATCTCCGCCAAGATCACAAGCATCCCAGCATTCCTTCCACTTGCGTCGCGCCAACCCTCAAAAAATAGATCCGGGGAGTAGGTTTTCGCGGTGGGCAAACGTAGCGGGGATGATTGCGATCCAGTGGCCGGCGCCGCTATTTCACAGGATTTTGTGGGGCTTAGAGTGGATGCCGGGGATGCAGGGCCGCGCGCCTGCGCCGCACAAGCGCCACGGCGGGTGGGTGCGAATGGGGTGGCATGGGTGGGTGGGAGGGTGGGTGGGATGGGGTGGGGGAATGTGTGGGCGAGCGATAGGGTGGGGAACCCCTGCAGCCAACCAGCACAGCTGGTGATGGCGAATAGGAGCAAGGAGGGTCAAATGAAAGGTCCCTATATGTGTCTTTGTGGGCTTTCCTGTATGAACGAGGACATTGCAAACAAAAAAACTAACTTTTGTAGGGCAAATTCTTGGAAAACAATGATAATGCCCATACTCGTGAAACAAGATCCTACAAGCATAGGCCTGTAATGTCTGCGGCGGATTGAGCCGGAAGCTCCAAAGTAACGAAAACAGTGAGGCTTGGGGGGGGGGCTTGCTTCGACTCAAACACAGCACACTCCAAATCACCACCTGTCACCACAGAGTGAATGTGCAATGATGGCGCCTGGAGCCTCGGGCGCCCGGCGCCTCGGGCAGGCGCTCGGCGCCTCGGGCGCCCGCCGCCCCGGGCGCCCGCCGCCCCGCCGCCCGGCGCGCCCGGCGCCTCGGGCGCCGCCGCCCCGGGCGCCCGCCGCCCCGGGCCGCCTGGCTCCCGGGCGCCCGGCGCCCGCCAGCACGGCTCCCCGCAAACCAACGGAACCAGAAATCCATTCGTTTTGAACAGCTTCTGCTTGCACGAGAGTCTGGGGCACCAGGCAAAGGTCCCTCTCTTGAATGAAAGCAGACAAGCTCAGCTTTGGCTTTATCCACGTAACCTCTCAAGCAAATGCGAGGTCGAATTAATGGACTGTGGCTCCGCGCCTTTGGGGGCTTTTCGGGCGTCTCCAAGCGCAGTTCTGCATCATGTGGGCTGTCCTAGCCAAGACACAGCTTTGCACTGTCAGCCAGCGCAAGCCTCAACTCCTACCACTTCCTCACAGCAATGCTTTGCTCGCTTCTGACTTCGCTCCTGGCTGACTACACTCACGAGCAACACAAACAACTCAGTGTCTTTGCCTCTCGGCATTCTGGAACTTCCAGCAGCAAGGGCGCATCCTGCCAGCATTGCTCTCCAAATCAGCCTGCTACTAACACGGACGCCTTGCCTCCGACTGCGACGCTATCTCCAAGCAAAGAGGCCCTCTGCACATGTCCTGCCCGGCAAAGACAAGCTAACTGCAGCCTCAAACTTGAGCGCACCGGCCCTCCACACACGTAGACAGGTCGCGGGGGAAGAGCGTAGCCTCGTCACATGCGCAACAATGCTCACCCTGTGGCTAACTCACACTGAGTGACAAGTGCCCTTTGCCTCTTGCCATGCTCAGAGTTGCAATAGCACGGATGCCTCCTGGGTGCAAGTCATGCCTCCAATTAGCCAGCTTGCTGCAGCACGGAAACTCCCAGCCTCCGACTGCACCACTGTCTCCACGAACAGCGACCGGTCAAGGCTCCGTCCGCATCCTGTCCAAATAGGGCAAGTGAGCTGCAGTCTCAGGCTCCGGCGCGGACCCTCCGTGAGGCGGTGGAGGAAGGGAGCAGCCTAGCCGCATAGGAAAGCAACACTGACTTCTTCTGCAAAGCTCGCAGTTGCCTCTGCTGCGCGCGTGCAAGCAAGCCTGCGCGCACAGGATACGAATACGCTTGCCGAAACGCTAGCAGCCAGCCTTCTCCCGAAAG